GTAGTGTCCTGCCAGGCGGTACACACGCCGGGGGACTAACAGAAAATGCGCTCGTGGTATGATTGCCTAACTTGAAGTATATAGCAGAATTCTATTTACTAACATTTTTGGCGTAGTTACTGCAAGACGGCGCATACCTTGAGCTCATTTCCTTCACTCACCCAGCGTCGCATTACCCACCAGGATCGCCCGAGCGCCAGAAACGGGATGCTAATCCTTGGGCATGGAAAGAACCTGGTTGGATCGACTACGCGTTCCTCGGGTCTTCCAGCACCTCAATATCAGAGCTTATAAACGCCCGGGCCAAGAAGGATAAGAGTAGGATTCGGTATGATCTAGAAGCGGACGGAGGAAGAGAGCGCAGCGACGGCAAGGTGTTAAAGTGGCGGATCTCTGCACCATCCCAGGATGGTGATCGAGGACTTGCTCCATTCTTCTGCGGAGATGTCACACCAAGGGAATGGAGGGTATGTGCCTTGTTCGATACTTATCCGGGGCTGTCTCAGATCGGGGTCTTTCAAGGTCCCACTCGATCCCCCTTCGAATGCAGAACATCCATCGGGAGTACTCGGGATCGCATACGTCCGAATTTTGGTGCAGGATAACGATCTGTCAGACATGAAAGCGAATATGACGTCGGTCATCGGTAGATCACCTGTGTCTAACACATCGCGAAGAGTAACTTGGGTACTTGACACACCTAAAACAGATGTCGCTGGAGGAAAACCCAGACTCATCATCGGCGTGCCAGAGACGGCGGACGAACGCTGGACGTTGAAAGAGAGGGGCCAGGGTATTTATGAGGTTGCGTTCCTCGTTGGCTCAGGGATGAAGGCGGGGCAAGCCTGGACGCCGTATGGAAAAATTGCTTGGGTGAAGGGATAGCTCGCACAAAATATATGATCTTCTTGCTGAAGTTTGGACCAGTCATCAAATGAATCCTTTCTAGCATTGTATCAGATATCCTCCAGTTGCAACTTTAGCTCAATTATCGTTCGCCCAAGAATATTAACGGCCCCTGAAAGCTCTCATGAAGCTAGATAATGTTAAGGAAACCCTATTTAATTAGCGATGAACTAAGTAGCAAAACCAAGTCGACGGTCCTAACATATAACGCAAGCAACTTGTTCGCAAAGGCGATCATTACCGCCTCTCCCGCACCTTCAACCAGACCACAGCGATAACAGCGACACCAAGCCCAGCTATAAAGGCAAAGAGCACAAGAATATCTCTATAATAATTGTTTAAGCCAAAACCAAACAGCTTGTGTGCAGTGATCAGTCAGTGATGCGAAGAGAAAGATACAGAAATAATACTCACTAGCTGCATAATGAGCGTCGCCGATACATTGACGGGTACGCCTTGTAAAGTATCCTCGATCATCAGTCCTGAACTTACTTCGTTTACTGAAATAGCTTCAAGGGTATACTGGCGTATTCAATGAACATTCATGAAACGTGAGATGTCAAGTACACGCACGTTAAGCGGGCAAAGCCATCGCAACCATCGCAAGACAGGCGGTATTGAAGCGATGTGGACAAAGAACCCGGCATAGGTCATTTGGTAGAGTGCGGAAAGAGCGGAAAGCAGGATCGCAATCCCGCCATTGCGGAATAGCATTCCTAGAAGGAAGTTCTGCGTGCCCAACCAGTAATCAGAGGAGGTAGGGTGCGATAGCAAAAAATACATACAAAGAGCGTCATGACTAGCGTGTACAGGACGATGACGAGTAGAAACTTGAAGAAATGAACTGCATCATGTGCAAGCCCAGCCATCCAGTATGTACTGAAATCCTAGATCAGACCACAAGTATGGATGATGGAAGTGAAGTGACTTACATAGTGCATACAGTGATGGTGGGTATAATGCGAAGGGGTATCACGTCGAATATCAGACGAGAAAGAAGCCAGGCTGTTGGGCTAAAGGCATCTGAGCAAATAATCTCAATCGAGAAGAAATTGACAAACCTGTAATACCAGTTTGACCTCTCACGAAGGAAGAGGGGTCGTATCTCAACGATATTATAAAGTGCGCTGAGGGATGAGAATGCAATGAGAGACCCCTGAAAGCGGTTTTACATCGAGTCTGCACAATCAAACCGTAACTTCTTACCATGAAGAAAAGGCATCCGACTCTGGCCTGGAATCCGGCGATAGTTAAGCCAGTCTGATAGTACAGACCACCTACCATTATATTTAGCATAGTCAAACAGCATAATCATTTGTACATACCACAAAATACACCGAGCACACAGGCGACACACACGTGCGTGAAAAATAAGGTCTTGTCTCTGCCAACGTCGACTAGGTTAGAAATCATCAAGATGAATGATTAAAAGTGTATGCACCTTCTCAAAACTTTCCATTCGCGTCCGCAAAGTACTTGTAACTGCGTAAGAAAAGTTGCCACATACGTGCCTGGTGCCAAATTTTGCGTAGAGAGGAGGGCTTCGACGTCTTTCCCTCCATCGGCTTTCTCCTCGCTGCTGGCACTTAGCCCCATTTTTCCAACCGCATTGTGATCCAGTGGCATGCTGGGGATGTCAGGAGACTCGCTCGCAATGTCGAGTAGGTAATCTGCGACGTTGTAACCCTCTTCGTAAGGCAGGACATCAGCCCCGGCTCCTCCCCCTTCTCGCATGCGCATGAAATATTGTGCTGGTGCTAGACCGCCCGGCCCCGAGTACAGCGCGCGCCCCTTGGAAAGGAGGTGAACGGAGTCAAAGGTGTGGTAAAGTCGCGAACTTGGCTGATGTACGCTGCAGATTACCGCCACGCCTTTTCGATGTCCATGTGAGCCTTGATGACTTATAGCAACTCCACCTTCACGTGCGAGTTCCTTCAGCACATTGACAACCCTGAAGGCGCTGACCGAGTCCAGTCCACTAGTGGGCTCGTCACAAACGAGCACATCCGGGCAACCAACAAGTTCAAGCCCGATGCTAACGCGACGAGCTTCTCCGCCACTGATACCTCTACCAGTCCCATCAGTCGCGCCGATTCTAGTTTCGGCGATGCCATCCAAACCTAGTTTGGAAATGACGGTGGAGACCAGCGCTGCCTTCGAGGATGCAGGAAGAGCTTCGGGGAGGCGAAGGGATGCGGCGAATGTAAGGGCTTCGCGGACAGTCAGCATTGAAGGAAGGATGTCACTTTGCGGGACGAAAGCTACCCTTGGATGATGTCCAGGGGCATAGGGAGGGAACGTGATAGACCCTGTATATTGGCCTGATTTCGTCTTCCCAGCGATGAGTTCTACAAGAGTAGTCTTGCCTGCTCCGCTAGGACCGAGGATTGCCATGAGCTGACCCGATTCGATACTGCCGCTAACGCTATCGAGGATGGTCTTTCCCTCCCGGATAGTCGATTTGGAAATCAGGGAGGACGGTGAATTTTGGGGTGATTGCACGATATACGAAATGTCGGACCACCGAACACTTATTCCGCCGCTTTGGCCTCCATTGAAAGGTAACTTTTTCGCCGCTCGTTGGACATACCAACCCCACGCGACGACCGCAAGCCCAAACGCAATTATTACCCCGACAACAGCAAGTCCTGCAATAACTCCCCCGCTTAGTTCAGTTCCACCCGATGCAGCTGCAGCGGAAGAAGTAGCGTTTGTCGTGTCGATGACGGCCTGAGTGACACATTCCCCAAAAACGCAGCCTTCCATGGACAAACCCTGACTTCCGAATACCGAATTGATGACATCCTGTTGAAAATGGCAGGTATTGGTGCTATCGCACGCAACTATTAATGTCCCGGTGAGTCCATCGATGGTACCTGTGAGGTTTGAGACCGGCACACCACCGCAGAATGTGGCATTTTGGATACAGGTGCATGAAAGATTTTGACATGTCCAGGTGCTCGAGGTAGTATTTCCCGAACCGGTGGCAGAGTTGGATGATGTCTGGGTACAAGGCGAAGCAGTGCAAAAGAACTGCTCGACGCCAGCATACATAAGTTGGGCGTAGATAGAGGAGCTAGTGGAGGGTGACAATAACGTCCCACTGGTGTTGTGCAACGGTGATAGAGAGCCGTTCAAAGTACGGAGAATGTTCAGAGTAGATTGAAGAGGATACAGTGCCTCTAATGTGGGATTCTAGATTAAAAGAGAAGTCAACTCGGGGATGCTTTGCTCGAAGACAAATATGTTGAACTAACATTAACTTGACAGCTAAGTTCGCCAGCTGCCCAAACAGTAGGGGCAGTATTGCAAACCATAGTGTCATTCAAACCACTTAGACCGTCAAGCCCCGAGGTTGCACTTGCATTGCCATTGGCCGCAGCATACGCGACCTGGCATGCTGAAGAGGTGGTGCAAACATTACAGCCCACTCCTCCCCATCCGCTTTCGCAGGTGCAATCGGACGCGGTCAAGTTCGCAAAGCCAGACGAGGACGTAGATGGTTGAGCTAAAGAGCGATTCGAACCATCAAATATGGTACCACCGCATCCTGGTTGTGCACAAGTAGCACCTCCAAAGCCCGGAGGACAAAGACAGCTCGAAGCATTAGATGGAGAAGTTTCACCGTAGTTCGTACATGTTTGCCCAGTGACGCTGGCTGAAAGGCTTAACAGGACGAGGAGAACGCAGGAAAGATGATACAGCCCATGATTCTGTACCACTAATAGTGGCATCCTTAAACTGGTTCCAAGCAAAGTTGCCATTGGAACAAGAGTTTTATCACTGCCAGCTCAGGGCTCATCGTGACGCATAAACGATTCAGATGTGATTGTGACAGAGTCTGGACTTGGCGAAATGGGTACCTGCGAAAGGTTTGTGCCTGCATTTTTGACCCGAGGTTCTCCGGCTTGCCGGTCGTTTACATTAGCTAATCGTAAATTTCTCCAATTAAACGTGCAGGCTACCTCAGTAGCACTGACTTATAAGTATGTTCCAAAGTGTGAGCTTCTTTTCTTCCCTTCTTTACTGTTTAACCTCTTTGTATCCATCTTATTCAGATTTCTTCTTGGTGGTCATCGACACCGACACCCGCACCCGCCCTGAAGGAAAAATATGATCCCACAAACCCTAAGATGAATCCTCTCAACCCGCAAGGTCTTAAACCGTGAGTGTAGGCATTTTTATTTGCCATACCGACTGACTTGGGCTACTTACGCGTGAATAGATGTTGCGCCTGCCCAGAAACGAAATCTGCTCGCGATGCTTGTTTTCTCCAGAATGGCAGCGAAGAAGGCAAATGCGCTGAGCTACTCCAGAAGCATGTTGAATGCATGCGAGGACTCGGATTCAACATCTAGTTGCCGTGATTATACTATGCAGTTGTGAGTGAGGTCATGTACAGGTGTCGGGTGATGTAGCATACGTCCAGCTGAGCGAACACGCTGGAACTTCGCTTCCTACATTCGTTTTTCTATCTGCCACGACGTCGAGCTCATCGTACCCTCGCACTTCCTCACTCGCACCTACGGCCTTGCTTTATACCCACTCACCACTCCCTTCCAATTTTCGCACCGGAGTTCTCACTCCGTAGTTCCATTTAATCGAGCATCTTTATAATATGCGGTGTCAACGCATTTCTGTTTCGACTCGAAGGTCATTCGACATGATCGAATTCGTAAGCAGGTATCCCCCTCCCGAGTGGCTCCGCCTGCTTGCGTCCCACCTCAAGCTAACGCCCAGTGAGAACAAGCAAAATATAGGTCAATGTGCATCGATAACTGCTGATAGAAAATAGTAGTTCAATATGAATCAACGTGTATCGTGAAAAACGAGACTTATTGATTTTGTTGATTGACTCGACATGCGTTCGATCTCGTTCCAGATAGTTTTAAATTCATAATTGGGCCACATTGATGGAGAACGAAACGTATCAATTGAATGATAGGTATCGCTACATTTGCTACATATGGTTATATGTTGATGCAGAACGAGACACAAAGAAAGAAATAAACACTCGACCCTCGCTGCAGCGGTCGCCATCCGCCACTCCTCTGTGTCCAATTTCAAACTCCTCGCTTCGCCCTGCCACGACTCCGAGATCGACCAGCTACACCACTCGAGTATCCGTGGTAGTGCCACGTATATGCCAGGTTGGTCACGAGCCTAATTCTGGTACCCTTCCCTGAAACTTAGTTTTCAGTGACTCTACCATTCCGCCACGTCTCCTATCTCAGACATCTTCTATTATGATGCCTTATGCGTCTCATCGGCAATTCAGGATGCTCTCTCTCATATTCCTCATGGTCATCGCCTTGCTGTCTTTACTGATAGTTTAGATACGGTGGCCATTTTCAACTCTCTCTTCGGTGAGGCGGGTATAATCAATTGCTCGTGTTCCTTGGCGACACCATCCTTGCGGCTTGTATTGATTATCGGGTTTTTCACATCGCCGGTGAACGAAATACGGTGGCTGATCACTTGTCTCGCAACAGAATGCAGGAGGCGAAAGTGTGTGTACCTGGACTTCGAGTCCTACCATTTGAACCCCCTCGGAATGCGCTGGGGATGGCCAAAAAATGACCCCTACATTACGAAGAGTCAAGCAGCCTATCAGGGAGGCTTGGCCAATTGAGCGTCTCGCACATGAACGCTCAATCAATTTGGGTATGGCTCCCGAACGTTCTACTAATCACACCTACACATCTGTGATCTCCATCGTTTTTCAATTGATCCTACACCCGATACTCTGTCATACTTTGTCACCTTCATAGCAGCCCATGTCAACCCTCGATCCGTTGACAACTATCTTTCTGGCATTTGCAGTTTGCTGGAAGAATACTACCCTACAGTCCGCGAGGTTCGTCGATCGCGCCTGGTAGTACGGACGCTTAAAGGTGCCAAGTGTCGCTATGGAGTTCTTATCCAGAGAAAACTCCCTTTAACACGTGCTGATCTTGCTCGAGTTGTTGACAGCCTCATCAACCCTTCTCACGATGATAAGATTTTTCTTCTCGACGGTTTTCACGGCCTTCTTCGCCTGGGAGAGGAGTGTGTAGTGCCCTGTTATCATTCTGAAGTAGATCGGCTCCCAATTGGGAAACACAAGTCCCTGAATGCATCAACTACATCAGTGGCAAAGGCCTCAACCACCGCTCGGTAAGCATATTTCCTGGTCATTCTTAAGTCGAAGTTCACCGCCCTCGCGCATACCTGCTCTGCGTTGTCCTGCCATGTTAGCGCCACTCCCTTAAACGCCCATTGCCGAGCTACCCGCCCAATACTCGATGTCGATATCCCCGACTTCGACTCCCACAGCGCTGCCAGCTCTGATACCGGCAACAGAGACTGCCACTGCTTTCGAATTCTGCTCCCAACCCCTCCTTCCCCATACACCAATTTGGCTTCGTCATCCTCGTGTCCACCCTCTCCCATACAGAACTTGGGCGTGTCGTGTAGCCTCTCCTTGACAGTATTTTGTTCTTTACATATCGTGAAATTTTAATTATGAACCAACTTGAATTTTCATGTCTTTGGTTTACTGAGCGAGCACAGATGAGGATGCAATATATAAATTATGACTACAAAAATTTGACAGAGATATGTATGTAGACAGTAGGGAGGTATGCACGAGGTGGGATGGCAAGATAGGTGAGGAGGAAAAATCCAGGATGCAGTGGAGATCACTGAAGAAAAAATACGAAGGTGTCTGCCGCCAGGTAGGGGTAATAACTGGTGGAGAGAGACAACGAGGGAGGAGATGTCGATGACGAGCGCGAAGGAGAGCGCTAGATCTTGACGCGGGCGTGCCGCCCGGTCGTGATGCGCTGTTGCGAAAGAATTAACCAGCGGCGACGGCATAGCTAGGCTGCAGGTTGAAGGAGCGGGCGCGGAATTGGCAGGATGCAGAGAGGTGGCGGCATTCACGGGCACAAGGGTTGGAAAAAAGGCAGAGGATGCTGCTTGCAAAGACCGCGAGCTCGACGAGTAGGACAACGAAAACATGTAATTAGGACAATGAAGACGACAATACATAAAAAAATATTCGTACCTTTCTCCAACACAGAATTTGTGGGGTCCGACCTTTACTAGATAACGTCAGTTGAATGTAAGTAATGTAAGTGCACTACACTGTGCAAGTTCGAAGTGAGAGATAGGATTGGAGTGAGTTTAAAATGGGGAAATATGTACACCACTACTCTGCTACTGACAGTATGAACCGAATGGGTGTTTATATATGTAGTACCAAGGGGGTGGCGTTCCAGGGTAGCAATGTAATAAGGGTTATGGTCGGATGTAAAGAAAAGGGCTCTCCGTCGCCAGGGGAATACAATTCCCTACAGTAACAGGTCACACATCAATCCACACTCTGACATGAGTGTCGGATTTTGTGTGCTCAGGGTTCGAGTACGAAGGAACTGAGAACTTTCAGGTCCGAATGATAACAGGATACCAGATACCGTATAAATACAGCTGCCAGGGGACGTATGGATGCCAGCCAGAGAGCCTTCTGATCAGCATGTCTCCCCCCTATGATAGCACCACTGCTGTGGAATTAGCCAGCGCCAAAATCTTCATACCTGACACAGTCACCTCAACATGGCCATGGCCCCGTCGTCTCAATCAGTACTACTCCAAAGTCACAGTCGAATCTGCTGCTTGGTTTGCGAGCTTTAAAGCCTTTAATAGTGCTAGAGCACTAGATGCCTTTGAACGCATCGATTCCGGTAAGACATGGCGCATGATGTCCTGTCAACATATTCACGTCATCTGTTAGATCTTGTTAGTTGTTTAGGCTACCCAATCGCGAGCAAAGGTGAGCTACGATTCCAACCGATAACTTACTGAGAAATACATCTACTGGTAGCGCATGTTCGCAGCGCTTGCGACGTAATGAGAATTTTCTTTGTCATAGATGAATACTCAGATGTATCAAAGCCAAGTGATGTCCGCGAACAGAAGAACGTTGCCATGGATGCTTTGCATAACCCCCATAAACCACGTCCCAAAGGAGAATGGGTCGGTGGAGAAATTGTGCGCCAGTGAGTGTTTTTTTGTCTGATATTAGGTCAGGGACTTATCCCACCGACAGATTCTGGGAGCGCACAATACAGGATGCTAGCGCGCAGTCACAGAAGCGGTTCATCGCAACATTCGAGTTGTATCTAGAGAGCATGGTGCAGCAGGCAAATGACCGAAACGAACATTGTATCCGTGACATTGAAAGTTACATTGATGTGCGCCGCGACACGGTCGCAATGAAGGCTGTGTTCGCATTGTTGGAGTTGGGCCTGGATATCCCAGATGAAGTCATATCCCACCCAACAATTGAGGCCATGGCTATCGCATCCATGGACATGGTCTTTATTGATAATGTCAGTGATTTTTCTGTGGACACCACGTGAGTGACACTCATAAAATATATGACAGGACATTGCATCCTACAATATGGAGCAAGCACGTGGAGATGCTAGTCACAACATGATAACGATTGTCATGCGCGACCTTGATACGGACGTCAACGGCGCCATGTTATGGGTGGCAGATCTCCATATGAAAACCCAGAAAAAGTTCTTGGAGGCGATGGCAACCGTTCCAAAATGGGGAGAGCCCATTGACCCGCAGGTGAGAGAGTACTGCGACGGCTTGGGAAACTGGGTGCGCGCGAACTATGAGTGGAACTTCGAGACCGAGAGGTACTTGGGCACAAAGGGTCCAGAAATTCAGAATAAGAAATGGATGCCACTAATGCCGAAGGACTGCCTGAAGGATTCTAGAGAGATTGGACCTGTACATGTTGATTGCTCTCTGCTTTAGTGTCACTATCAAGCTATATGCACTGTCACATACCTATGTATATCTCACGCGTTCTCTCCTTAGCTTGTACACTACGTCGGGAAAACCTCCCATGCGAAATTTGCAGAATGAGTTGGCTTTATCACTTAGTACTAGGGCGAACTTCTGACCTTGCTCCGATATGCAGGCAATTGACCGGTGCTTTAGATTTTTGTAATTGCTACAGTTTTGAGTTTCTGGATTTTAGATCTATCCATATAAATGGGATGTGTCCTCGGATATCAGTGCATCGCATTTTTGAAGTAAGGCATTCTGCTTCATAGCGCGAACTTTACCTTTATAGGGAGCTTCAAGGGGCCCACACGAGAGTCTGGAGCGGCAAGAGAAAATCAGTAGATGTAAAAAAAGAGGACCATGAGACACTGTCACCTTAATTAGAGTTAGACATAGATCGAGAATAGGGATTACGGACAGGATTCTCATCTTCCCACCCAACCGTGCGTCACACCGCAATCCAGTTCATCCCAATCAAAACATCGGAATCGAGACTAGGCTAAATCTCAAACTCGACATTGGTTATAAGCGCACGACTATCATAAGAGGCCATGAGAATTTCAGTGAACCGTGAACCTGGACCCGAATGGCGGCCCATGGCCCAACCTATTGGTTTATGTCAGCGACTCACTCAAGCTGGAGTTCAAACCTTTCAAAACGAATAAGATTATTCCGATTCACAAACAGCCTACCACGACCGGGGCAGACTTAATTTGTGGACTAGTCACTAAATAATACACTGCTTCACTCACATTCATGGTCATATCAAACGCGAGATTGGCTGTATCCTAGAGCAACAATGGTCTAGTGAGTAATGGTTTCAGAACCATTTGCTGTTATTGGCTCATTGGAACCAATTTTTCTACTTGGTTGAGGACATAACAGTGAGGTACTATGTTCTTGCTTGCATAGTGAGCCTAGATGGGCTGCGATGTCCGAGATGGTGAAATAAAAAGGTACCATCATGCTAGACTCTCGCCGCTAATGTCCATATGCATTCGCATGAGATTGCAATAATCCATACTTGCTTTGAACAAATTTGACACGGTTCGCTTCGGCGGAAGACTGCTTGCCCTGTCCTTTATATACTGGTGTTATGAACCGTCTGCCACGAGGCTGCAAAATGGTACTCCTGATTTCTTACTTACGCGTCCCATCAATTAATCATACTACTATATACTGGTTGTCGACTCTATGTCCTTCGCTGCATGACTTGGGTTCGAAATAGGAATGCCCATGGCTCACCTACTCATGGAGCTCCTTCTGCCTCGGAAAAAGGATCGGACACAGCTCAGGTGCGGGGAATTTGCCTTGTTGGGGTGATCTCATGCTCATGTTCTTTTCCTTTCCTCTCAAGAAGTAATTATTGAAGCTATATGCAATGCAACGGTGAAGAATTGCCGCGCTTGGCTTGTACTGCGTTTCGCTACATACAGACACCATACGAGAGAAGGAATATTGGACTCTCACTGAAATGATGCCATTTCAACCCCACTCTGGCAATGCGGCCTAATTCCAAGTTACCCTTGATGCATAAAAGGGCTCTCATGCAGTATGTAAGTCATTCAATCCAGTGCTTCCAACCCCAAGAGTCCTCACCGTTCAGCAAGTTAATCTTCCGCTGAAAACTTTGCTTTTGTACCCATGATGAAGTTCTTGATCACTTCCACCGTCGCTGCCCTCGCTACGTGCGCCATCGCTACGTCTTACAGCCTCTCTTATGATACCAACTACGATGAGGCATCCAACTCACTTGACACGGTGGCCTGCTCAGACGGCTCCAATGGCTTGGAGTCGCGTGGCTACACCACTTTCAGCTCTATTCCTAACTTCCCTTACATCGGTGGTGCACCCCAGGTCACTGGCTGGAACTCAGCATACTGTGGGTCGTGCTGGGAAATCACTTACACCAGCCCATCGGTGACCACTACCAAATACGTTACCGCCATTGATGTCGGTGATGAGGCACTAGATGGGTTCAACTTGTCGCTGGAGGCTATGAACGGTCTCACGGGCGGACAGGCTGAGTTTTTGGGGCGCGTCACTGTCACGGCCACCCAAGTTGATGAAAGCAATTGCGGTCTGTGAGACCGTGAAATTAGGGTAAGCAATATACTCTGAGCCCCGTTAAATACAAAGGCATCTCGTACTCACCAACTTGATAGGTGTGCGAGGCAAATGGTTGTTGGAGTCGATGAGTTTTTTTTGGACATCTTCGACTTTCATGTACAGACAGCATGGACACTCGCAGAAACATTAATCACGAACATGTACCTCTTTTTTGGAGCATTGACAGTATACTGGTCTCGTACAACCCACGTGTGTCAAAGAGTAACAATGAATTGGTAGGGGAACGCGTTGGTTGCATATTTCCGCGTGCCCGCTTTGGCGTTATGACAAGTTCGTCGGATCCTTGAGCAAGTTTCCATGCTCTACTTTGTAGATCCAGAGCATATGAGCGTATGTCACGTGGCAAGGAACGACGTGTTTATAATTTGAAATTCCACGCGTTGAGTACGTTGAGTCCACAGCTAGTGCTACTTTTGGAATCTACTGCATTTTTTCTGACCTTTATCTTTCCATCATAATTAAGACGATGGCCTCTGCAACATCTGCGCAACAGTTTATTACGAAGCTCATGACTTCATCGCAAAACAGGGCGTTAGCTATGGAGGCCGACACGATTCGGGGGCTTCTGGGCTTTGCTCGCCAGCTCCAGCCTGGGGACCCAAAGCACGTCGAATACCGGCAGAAGATTGGTCACATATTGGTAAGTCTGAATTCAGGTTCTTTATGTGTACTGATCAAACCGTCCTGCAGTTCTTCCGTGTACAAACCCTCATTTCAGCAGCAACAATGTTCGACCCCCATTTTCTTATCGGCTGCAGTAGAGATAACCACCGTCTGCAAGAACAAGAAGTGGGTTGGGATACCTAACTGGCAAGACATCAGAGAGGATGATCCAAGGATCGAAAATCACCCACTGATCAACAAGACGTGGTACGTTCATCCGAATCAGCAGATGTTACAGGGCTTCCCTGAGGGTGCCCTATTGGTTGCTGAGCCACCCGCTGCAACTGCCGATGATATTTCTTTACTCACCGATAATACTTCCGTGGCTTCCGGCGCAATCGGCAAGCGCCAGCTGCGTGTCTTTGGCCCTAAGTCGCAGGCCCATGCGAAAGAGAATGCCGAGGAAGAGGGAGCACTACCTACAGACCAGTCTAGGGGTCGATCCAATCACCGGGGATCTAAGAAACGGGGGATCACTGAATCTGAATCACGAACCCCGCTTGCAGGAGCTATGGGGGCTGGGTCGCACAAACGAATCCGTGCAGACACGAGGTCCAATACCGTTAACGAGATGGGAGAAAGCGTGTCGCAGGGAGTGATACATGTGCAACACCCAAAAGCGAAAGCAAGTCACTAACAGTAGTCCAGTTATTTCACTAATACAGGCTTCAGACCAAAACACCGACAGGTCTATCTTTGAAAGCAGTCAGCAGTTCAGTAAGACTGACACGTCTGACTTCTGCCAGCATACTTATTGATAATTCTCAGGCAAACCTCTTGACAGCACGATCGGGTGCCGTCAACGCCGCTGGTTCCTGTCCTCGTTGTGTCAGGGAAGGCAAGACATGCATGAGAGCCAGGGGCAAGACTGGCCTCCTGTTAGTTTGCACTGCCTGCAGGCGACTGAAAAAAAAGTGTGAGCTGGATGTCAACCAACCCACCATGCAGCGAGGAAAGTCGGGTGTGCGAGGTGACCCTCATCTCCGATCATCGGAGAGGGTAAAGGCACGGAAAATGTCCACTCGCCGCATGGGCACTTCTGTGCTGCAGCGAACACCGCCTAGAGTCGGTAAGTGCATGGCTCGATTGACATGCAGTTCGCTAATAAATTCAAAGTCATGAGCTATGTGTCAGTGCCCCAGCTTCCGATCTCAGCCCCCGAATCCACAACCGTGAAGCTAAGAAGCGTGAAGAGAAAGATGAGTAGTATGGAGGGTGTGATCGACCTCCTCCATCGCGAGATGGAGACACTCCGCACGATCATCGATGCCTCGAGCTGATAAAACAATGCCTATGGTGTATGAATGACTTTGATTACGCGTTAGGCTATCATAGCCAAAGTATTACTGATTTACCTGCTTCTCAATCTTCAAGTGTTATGCTTGAGCGTACAGGACTCACCTGACCCGAGTTATGGATGCACTCAGTGATATCGATTTAGCAGTCACCCTTTTTTTTCAGTTTCATGCCTATGCCTCTTGATACCTTTTCTTTTCAGTTTCATGCCTATGCCTCCTGATACCGTTTTATGCTTACGTCGATTGATACTCTTTACTTACCTCGATCTTACGACATGCATTGATTGCTCTTTCGCCCCATGAGACATGTTATACCCGCTATCCTTCGGGCTACATTTCTGCCAATTCGAAGGAAAATCAATCGGCCTGGAGCACAGCAGCACATGGATGCTATAGGTTGTGCTGAGGGTGCCAGTGGAAGCGCTAAAATATCAAAAACCTAAACCGAACATAAGCGCTCGCACGATGACTGAGCACAGTGACCATGCTCAACGGAGTCAACGCCACTGTTCTCATAGCCATCCTCATGGCTCTCCCCAAGTCCACGAGGATCAACACAATTTCAAAGAATTTAACAAGAATTATTTTGATGAGCATGGTCATCGTTACAATGATCATCCCAACGCGCATGAGCTAGCTCGGCGACTTGGAGCAGCCATGATCAAAGCTTATCCATTCGAGGAGGACTCAACATTGGTTCTAGACTATGCTTGTGGCACAGGTAAGCCATGTATATGAAGGGTTTTGTAGCACACTTATGAATTTGTCCGTCGTACTCCAGGTTTAGTCTCCAAAAAACTCGCTGCCCATGTCAAATGCATCGTGGGCGTGGACATCAGCCAGAGCATGGTTGACCAGTACAATCAGAGCGTCTTAAATCAGGGTATACCACCCGAGGAGATGAGGGCTGTGTGCTGTGACCTCACTGCTGCCCCAAATCAACTGGATGGAATGAAATTTGATGTGGTTGTGGTACGTCTCCACCTGCAACGTTCCACGTTCTCACCTTGACAATTACTAGTGTGCATCGTCGTATCACCATTTCCCTTCTATTGAAGATGTCACGAAGGCTCTTGTATCATACCTGAAACCAGGGGGTTCGCTCTTGGTCGCTGATTTAATGAAACCATCTGCAGAATCTGCACAGGCGTTGGCGGCCTTGTTTCCCACTGGAGCACATAATATTGTCGCGCACAAGGGTGGATTTGAGGAGGCAGACATCAAAGCCGTGTTTGAGGGTGCTGGACTGATCAACTTTTCATTTGTAACAGCCTGCAAGGCGAAGCAACATGGACACCCTGCCGAGCTCTTCTTAGCTTCTGGGATCAAGGAAGTCAATGAAGAGGCATAATGGTAGATTACTCCATATTAGATCAAACCATCATTTGAGAGATAATGAACCACCAAAGCGTCCTCTGGCAACAGTATCAACTTTGGCCTTGACTTCCCAGAATGCTCTCCACCAAGCTCTCCCGATGCTCTCCGCAGTCGAGCTTCCATCATGATTCTCCTCTGCACCACTCGCGCGTTCATACACCCCCCAGTTCCTCCTCAAGAGGATAAGCCACCACTTCATTACAGCAATGGTTTTCTCCATTCCTGTATCAGCCGATTCTACATTCCGCACCAAAAATTTGCTGAAGTAGTCAACGTCTTTTTGCTTGGGAGAATATTCTGTGAATCCCTTGACCCATGACTCGATGACGGTCTGAACATCTCCAGTTTCCGAGAAGTACAATTTCTCCCCTGGCTGTTTGCCCTGCTGCTTCAACAAAGGAGGCTCCGGGTGCTTAGCCTGAGGAGGAGGTTTCTTGCGATAAGGCGCAGATGGTGCGCGACTAGAAGCCTTGATGATCTTGCGTTCTTGAAAGAGATTTACACTTTTTGCATGTCGAGCCATGATCACCTGCTCGCGCTGCAAATCTACAGGCAAGGCAGCAAACACATCTGGGTCGATATCAAGTTTGCAAAGCTCTGCGTCAGATACACGCATGTACGATGGGACTTCACGTTTTGTAAAGAGCGTATTTTTACGGGGGGATACACTCGTTCTGTTCTTCGGTGCAAGCTGCTGAGTGATTCTTTTGACGTTGACGCCTTTGACCGTGATTTTTGGTCGGATGTCACGAGAGGGTTGTTCCGCCGGTATTGGTGAGCGCGATCTGCGTTGATATTCAACTTCTAGTTCCTTCCTAACATCGTCCGGCAATGCATCGAACACGTCCCTGTCGACTTGAGAGAAAGAGGGAAGGTCCAATGTAGGAACTGGACGTGAAGGACCAGCCTCATTCTTATTCTGGAGCGGATCATCTTGCGAAGGGGGTTCAGTTGTAATCCTAGGCACTGGGAGGACATCTTGTCCGGCGTTCTCTTGTCCAGTCGTTTTGGAGCTTTTGGCTGGGAATGGCAGCTTTACTTGCCAAGGATCGGTGGTGTCAGATGCCGACGGCGTATCTAGCTTCTGTATCTGAATGCCTATTCCGCGCAGCTCTTTCGGATCAAATCCCCAAGAATCCAGTAGTGCCCATGCATGTTCACCGATATCCTTTGAATCGCTTGTAGCTCTACCGTTTGCGCTGCTTAATAGAGTTTGCTTGCTGAACGTCTCACAGATGCCGTGCCCCATGAACTAAACAGTGAACATTCATCAGTACCTGGTTTGAATACGGCCTACAATCCTAAATACCTTGGGTGGCTCAACAGGTGCGCTTGGATCACGTTTCATAATCTTCAGAGTCAAAGAACGTCCACACATGTTGATAGCATTCAATCTCCGGGAAACTTCTTCAGCCATCTGGTGGATGAATGTCTTAGCTTGGTCGTCGTTCTCAAAACGTATTCCATACTAGGAAAAATCAGAGATCAGCAACTACACAAACCAAACTACTCAGCCACTCACGTTGATATCACATGAGACAGACTTCCTCGGTTTGTCAGACTCGAGTTTTCGCTCATCGATGCCACGAATCGCGTTGTACAGAGTTTCGCCAGTAGTCTTGCCAAGTGCATCGCACAGTGCAGCTTTGCTTTTCTTAGCGAGTTCGCCGAGATTTGTGGCTCCGAGCTTCTCCTTCGCTTTTTGGCGCGTAGAATGTCCGAAGCCGTGGAGGTCATCGATATCTAACGGTGCGAGAACCTGTTGCACATCTTCCAGTTTTAAGTGGAATGATCCCGCAGGCTTGGCCTTACGCGTCGCGATGCGAGCAAGTTGAATATTCTCCGCGATGCCAATGCTAACTATGGCTCGTGTCAGTAAGTGACATCGGACACATCAATTTGAAGAACCTTCGCAGCCTGTTCCTTCTCTGACCTCGAACCGTATCTGTTCCGCAAGGGACCTTGCGGGATCATCCGCGAATGCTAGGGAAGATGGCCGAATAGCACATCGGGAAACACTCGTGGTGACCTCAATCAAAGCTTCGTCTACAGAGACGGCCTGGATATCATCCGCATGACGCATTAAAATGGTGTAGAAACGCAATGACAGCTGTTTATATCTGATCTCGTGTTGGGTAGAGTATAGTGAATGAAAAGACAAATACATACTTCTCGAATTCGTAGGGCATAGTCATAAGATCAGGGCACAATCTACGTCCTTGCTGAAGGCTGAAGATAGCTGTCACTCGTAGGTCAATACATGAGATGTGTGTAGCATACCTCATTCCGTTCTTGATACCAAATGACCTGGCTTCGTAGCTTGAGCTTGCTATTTCACTTGTACTCGATGCACCCCCTGTGCTCCCTTGCGAGTGACAAACGACAACCGGTTTGCCTCGTAACTCAGGGTGGCTCAGAAGGCCGACAGAAACGAAGAAGCAATCAAAGTCGCAGTGCATGATAAAACGCTTCAAGCCTGGGGCCTTTTCTTTTCCTTTCCTTTTTGATGGAGACTTCGCCGCGAGCTGTACTCCGCTCATGTTGGCATCACCATTCTTAGCCATGTCCTGAAGGTCGCCTATAGACTCATGCATCGACCCATTTTCAGCTTCTTCTTGGGCTTGTTGAACCAATTTTTTCAGTTCAGCCTTCCATGTGGACAGGTAGTGCAGTCGTGAGTGTTTGTAAAAACCTTCTACGAAATCTGGTGCTACAGAGGTATGTGCGGCTCTCCATTCAGGATTAGCCATCACGCGCTCTGCCAACGGGTTCGATGTATGAGCGGCGTATCCAGGAACGCGTGCGGCATCTTTGTACGTGCCAGGATCTGTGACATAGAGCGGTCGAGGTGAATAAGATGCCGAAGATGCGGGGTCACCAGTCTCAGGGGCGGCAGCACCTGCCTCGCCGGAAGCAGGCGTTGTGTTATTTGATAGTTGTTCATGCTTACGCATACCAGAGCGTTCTGCTGTACGTGAATCCGTAGACAGGTAACTTTGAGGCGTATGCGTTCCTTGAGATTGATCGACCCTGGCCCCAGGTTTGAAAATGTAATTCCTCCAGGGAATTAAAGTTCCTGCAGCGGCACTATCCACCAGCCAATCAGGCCTCACAATCTTCATATGCTTCCAATCTTTGATCTTCGCAGCCGTCAGTGAGCAAGTGACGACATGGGTCCTGTACAAGGAACAATGAATCTATGTGAAATGACTGGAGTGATAAAAAAGGTGCAGACACTAATGATTTCTTATCTAGGTAAGGCTGAAACACACCCCCATGCGTCACTATCAATTGACGTAGATCTTGACTGAAGGATTTGTCCACCCGTTAATCTGCGATCAAAGTTGAGGCCCTTCTTTCCTGCGATAACAATGGAGATACGTACATATATTGAAAGACCGCTAAAGATTTTTTTTGTGGCGCTGACCTCTTGGCTTGCATCAAGGGCTGCATTCTGTATCTGGAGTTTAGCGCGTTTGCGATGCATGTATTCTCCGAAATGTCCAAAGCGAGATGCGCCATAGATCTCGGGATCCTCTTCGGTGTCGCCGAGTCCATGGGTCAATGTCCCATGTGATGTCGTCCCAAGTTGCTGCTCATCACTTTCATCACGAGGACGCTTGCGACTCAGTGATTCAGTGTCAGGTGGAGGAGCTGTGATTTGATCTCCAGGTAGCACCGCGTTCCTGAGAGCCTCAAGGAACTCTGGATCGTCAGGGCCAAAGAGGTCGGAGGAATCACTAGACGCAGACGATCGAAGTGGCTTTAGTACCATCAGCCTTCCTATGGCAATATGAAGAGGCAAGCATATGGTCTCCGTGTCCTGTACGGCAGCCCGGTAATCACTGAAGCAAGCGTTGTTTGTCTTTATTTATCAATGTTTCCCAAAATTGCAAATAAACTACCAATCACTACACATTCCACATGTGGGTTAGCAAGCACGTTAACGTAGAATAACTGAATAAGTAGGCTCTTAGACTATTGCTATGATACACTATAAACACTGTACAATAATAGATATATCATCTAACCAAGGTGAGTCCATGTTCAAAGTCAGAACACGAGATACGCTCGTCGGATCATTCCCAAGCGCCTGCCAAAGTAGTCGGAGGGCCAGACTTTTTTCATCTAGCTCTCTTGAGCTACTACATGCGGCTACACGGGCCCACTGATCGACAATCGCACGTTGATTTGTGCCACATATGTCCGTGAACCCATCTGAGCAGAGAATAAGATATTTGCGAGGAGCTTGGGGCGATGGATCAAGGGGATAATGCGTGACTTCCGGCGTGGACGAAATATATGGAGGCGTGTGGTTCCTCACCAAGAATTCTTCCCAAGGAGATGTGTCGTGCTGACCAGGGTATAAATTGTAGAGAATTCGTCGTGTGAACTCGGGTGGTTGCTTGAAGGGGGTGTCTCCCAGACCTGTTCAAATGAGTAGGTCAGCAAATAGTAAAATATGGAAATATGAATGTAACATGCATCGAAAGGGTGCAATGGCTCCAAGCACACGACCATCCAAAATACACTCCGGCTCACCGGGGTGCTCATTCATGACGCGCTGGACCTCGAGCGGATTTTCCCCATTATGAAACCGCGTCAAAAACTCCACATTCCACGCTTCCTGATCAGTCTCTGAGACCATCACTTGAATCCAAAAGTCAGCCGTCACGATGAACAACATCGTCACGGTTTACGTACGTCCTTGGCAGTCACCTAGATTGGCGAGCCATAGATTTTGGTGATCAGGGTCAACAAGAGCTACGAGTGCAGTAGTACCATACAAGCACAGCCTCGCCTTCGTGTAATTTTGCCCTCCCGAAAGTTGATCATCGAGAACTTCCTGGATCTGCAAGTCCGACAAGCGAGATAGAGATGACAAACCGCCCGGGAAAAGTTCCAGGACGTCATTGGCGATGGCGTCATCGAAAGCGCGAATGGCCATCGCAAACATGTCCGCAATTAAAGGCGGTGGTACAACACGGTCACCATGTTTCTGAGAGATCAACTCCAAGTGTTCCCGCACAATGATAGGCATGTGATGAGCCACATGCTCAACGGTATGGCTGCCCAGGTGACCTGTGAATAATTCTCGGTAACGACAAGATGACCAAGCACATTCTCAAAATTGCGCTTACCATCAAAAACTGCAGACAGGGTCCAAACGCGTCCCTTAATATGTATCTGCTGAACTGCATAACGGTCTTGCGAAGAGGTCTCAGCGCAAGGTTGGAAGTTAAGGGCATCTGCCCGCCACCGTCCAGTCGGGTCAAATTTGACGCTGTGGAGGTTGGAAGTTGCCGCCAGGTGATCCCAGGCAGCGTCATGGTTCAAATTTCGGAAAGGACGTGGCCAATCATCTGTAGGACTGCACAAATTGCCAGGGATATCGCCAAAGGAGGCAAACGAAGTAGAACCAGCATCCCAGGAGCATTCGGGCATTCCATCCATGAGGCGCCAGTCGCAGAAGAAGCAAGCGCAGGAAAAATGTAGAGAAGCGGAATCTCCACTTTGCTCTCGGACCGCTTATAAGTCATCGCTGCTGTCATGTGCAGTACTGAGCGTTAAAGTTCAATGTTAATTAATGATATATATCAATAAATTTGGTGTCCTTGAAAGCCGTGCGGCGTGCGCATACACGTGGCGTAAACGTCACCGTGGTACTTACCACATAGGAAGTTTGGGACGGAGACGGGCACTTGGTAATTCAACGTGATGGGATATAGTTAACTCCCGCAATGCTGTGTGTAGTTGCGGAGTTTCGCGCGGTCATTCGATGTAAGACAGGCACAATGGGAAACCTCCGTTGAAGGACGAACGCAAAGGGGAATAAACTTATGTAAAACTCAAAACCAGTGTTCGCAAACCAACTCACTGCATTCCGCAATTGCAGAGACAGCTAAACCTAAAAGTGCTACATTACACTTCCATACCGGTTGCGTTATCTAGGATAAACCGAAATCATAGTCGTAAGCTACAGTATAATGACGAAAAAATGTATACAATGCGCGTGGTAAAGATCGTGGTGGGTAAAGATCCAGTCTAATCCTCGAGGTCCATGCAGAATTATGTGAAAACATAGCTTATTTACGGAAAGGGTTGTGAGATCCGCCCGTATTTGCGGGTGTTATCAAATACGGCGAGTCAGGTTCCGGGGACTGCCTTACGGACGTAGCGTACGCCTCAGCGGAGGTTGGCGGTTTAGGTGTTAGCTGGCGTTTTAACACGTTTGGTTTCTTGGGTGCCGAAGATCCAAGTGTTGTTATCGAAAACCGAGAAGTCAAGGGATTCGACTTGACAGGCTGCCGAGGTTCAGGTCCGGAACGAACCTGCCCCGTCGCCTGGGAATACATGGAACCCGCCGATAGCCTATTAGCATCAGAGTAATCGTGTGATCCGCGACGCTTGTAGGGATGAAGCGAAGGGAGGGGCGAAGGAGACCGGCTCGATCCTGAGTAAGAGTACTCGTGTGCACCTATGAGCTTCTCCATTTCCTTATGGTGCCGTGCCTCCTCCGCAGCACGCAGTTTCCATAATGCAATTTCCTCTGACTCAGGCTGTGGACTACGGTTGTGCCCAAAAAGCCTCTCCCCAAAGCGGGCAAGTCGCCATCTCCAGCTTTGCTTGTGGAGGGCCTTAGCAGACGCAAATGCCGCCGTGTCCTTTGCTCGCTGCTTGCGAGCTCGGCGGCGCCAGCAGTACAAAAATGCCACAAAGATGAAAGCACATCCAAGCGCCATGAGCAAAATCTCCCACCACTGCAATCGTTGGGTTGTTGTGGTTGTGGTAGGAGTCGATAGTCCCGAAGGAAGCGTGCCTGAGCTCGTACCAGAAGGTGAGACTAGGACAAGTTCTGAGAGGCATGCCCCAAGACTCGGGACAACACTTGTACCGCTCGTGCAGTTAGCTGAAGTGCAAGTACCCCCCACGCAAAACTTGACTAGAACTTGAGCAAGCAAGGCAGCTATTTGGACCGGCGCCTGAACAGCTAGCGCAACTGGAATCGCAGGACTGGCATGTTGAGGACGTTGTGTCGAAATACTGGTTCTGGCTGCAAGTAGCGAGGCAACGCCCACTTGTAAGGACAGGGAGTGCTTTGTTGCAACTTGTGCACTGGTTAAAGGATGCGCCTGAACATGTTGCACAATCTGGGTGGCAGGAAATGCAGGCACCGGAAGAACTAAACGTATTGGAGGGACAAGAATTGACGCATTGCCCGTTTGAAGCCAGCAAGTTGTTCGCGCATGTTAAGCAGGTGGTAGCGCTCCCCGCACAGCTAGTACAGGATGAAGAACAAGCTGGATAAATGATGGCATCAGTCCAATTCAGTAATGAATTGAGACGAGACAGCTCGTACCTGTGCATGTCAAATTATCTTGAGGAGAAAGGAAAGTACCAGACGGACAGCTCGTCACACACGTCCCTTGTGACAAGACGAAACCAGGAAGACAGCCAGTACACTGTGCTTGATTTACGGTAGATGCCACATTGAAATTGGATATCTGGCAGGTCGTGCACTTCGGTCCACAAGCTGAGAGTCGCATACTGAGTACATGTTAAACGTGCAAAGTGGGATACACTTACTGTCGCACTCGTGCTTGTTATTGTTAGCAATCATATTGGAGCCTGAGCAAACACCCCCGGAGCTGGTCGTCACGCATGACCCATTAAACTTGTACGTGCCAGATCCGCAAATGACACAATTGTTCGAATTCGGCCCAGTACAAGTCGTGCAAAGTGGTGAGCAAATCGCGCAAGCAGACCCAGCGCCGTAGCTTCCATCGGGACAAGTCGTGCCATTTGACGTAGTTTGCGGAATGGCATCGCACAGTGTGCGGTCGTTCCCATCCTGAGTAAAGCCCGATGCGCAAGTAATGCAGTCCCCGGTGCCATCGGCACACTGTTGACAACCCAACTGACAAACTGAAACCAAAGATGAGATTGGGGAGAGAGAAAAAGAACGTGTCGTAACTCACTTTCACAGTTCCCGTTTGTGTCTAAAAAGAAACCGGCCGCGCACGCAGCACATTGAGTTCCATTTGACGCTGAGGTCCAACCGTTGATACAGGTACACTGTCCGTTAGCGCCACATTCGCCGTTGATACAATTACAGCTCGATGGCAGGTTTGACACTACTGGCACCAAGCAACGCCCCGTACCCGAAATTCCATCATCACATGAAGTACACCCTGACGGACAGGCCTGACACTCCGGTCCGAAGAAACCAGACGAGCACGACTCGCAAGATGAACCGGTAAATCCACTTTGACATTGACACGTCCCAGAAGCGGAGCAAATGCCATTCCCGGAACAAGCCGGCGAACAGGTTGATGATTGAAGGTTGAGCAACGATAGGGATCCCGAGGCGCTTGCGGGGAGTTGGCTGACATCAGGAACAGAGTTCCACAGAATGACACGGCTGTTGCTTCCGGCTGATACGGCTGCCCATACGTTCCCTGAGAGGGCAAATGAGGAAGCAGTGAATGGGATGGTCGTATTTTCGACGGGGGACGTAGGGAGACCTGAATATGAGCTTTGTCCTGAATAGAAAGCTTGCGGGTAGATCGCCATGCCTGGTTGAAGTGCAATATCCAGTGGAAGAGCAACCGAAGATCCAGTGCTTGAGTTTCCGAAGCCAGCAGACGGAGAAAGTTTAGCAGAAGAAGACGTTAACAGCTCATGAAGAAGCTCTGGGTTGGTCGTGGATGTATATTGTCCAGGAAGAAGAAGTACTTCAGTTGATATTCCAGATGCTGAGAGAGTTGCTCCAACTTATCATAGCCATGAGTACGACGATGTATGTTCTAGTAATTTCGGACTCACGAGATGTATTAGAAGAACCTTGCAGGCATTGACCCGCAACGCATACAACAGAAGACGAAGATTGCGCGACTGAGTCATTGGCTAGCGTCAGACGTGTAGATATTAAGCAGTTCCGCACTCACCAACAGACGCGCCAAAGGCAAAAGCAGCAGCAAATATGCTCGACAACATGTCGGGCTAAGGAACGCGCAGCGAGATGAAAGCAAGAAGCAAAGAAATAAAGCGCGAAGCTCTGGCGCAAAAAAGCATGGTGAGTGTGGCCTTTTGTTATTTTAGAAGAATAAGGTGGGCGGGTTGCTGCTCGACCGCTATCCCAAGAGAACAATGCCGCGTCCAAGAACAATAAGCAAGTCCATTTCCAAACTTCCTTTTTTGGTAATCCATAACGAAAGTCGCAACAATTGACCGATCGACCCATTAGGCCACAAGGCTGCTGTGGGCTGCGCAGATTTAATTAAAATCATCGTAAACCGCTGTTTGCAATTGGGGTGCTATAGTATATTTCACGACAACATAACGCCTGATATTCTATTCAGGCTCATTATGATCAGTCTTGGCACTCTTCGTTATGCGAGTCTTTCGGTCACCAGTACATGTACAAATTGGTCGAGCGAGACACCCCAGCGGATGTGACATTCTCGCCCCCTCAGCACAAAAGTTCGAGTGTCGGCAATAAGGAACAGCTGACAACAGAAAGCCTAATATTCTAACTCAACTGAAATAAGTACACTCGTGATCGTATGTTTGTAGCTGCGGCGAGAGTCCAGGCATATGGTTATAACTGTTATACAAGTCCGTAATAAATGACTAGGAAATGGTGCTAAAATACCCGAAAAAAGGCATCATAAAGGATACCGACAACCTAGAATCGATATGTCAGCATCAAGTTCAAAGCACCGTGATAACATGGATCAGAAAATTATTTGGCAATAGAAGTTATCTCCACAAGGATCAGAACAGGTCTGAAGTATCTCATCAAGAGAAGGGCACAAGGAAAGACGCTCACATGGTGATATACAGTGTGCCGACAGGATAGATATGATACAACAATTTGCAGCGTGACACTATGGAAAAGAATTAGCACCAGGTTTAAATCATTACTAGAGGCGAGAAGAGTCAGAAAAAAAAGGCAATATCAAGTTGTCCGCATGTAGGTCTCGGAACAGGTCTGATATGTATCATCCTGAAGAAAAGTGAAACATAGGACTTACAACTTTCACTGCACTTGTACTGGTGGCATGGCGGTTGCTATAGGTTTCCATCGTAGCCTGGCCGGAGATGGACAGCCATACTCCCAGTCGACTTCCTCCGCATCATCGTCAATCATATCGCAGTCCTCGACGTATACTCCCACTCCTACGCCATCTTCAGGTTCTAGCAGCACTTCTCGGCTAGACCGCCTTTCCTGCAATTTCAACTTGCGAAGTGCAGCTATAAGATCATCTGCGAGAGGTGCAGCATTTGGTGGATCTTCACGAATTTGTTCCCAGCCGATGGGTGGGGATCCAGGTGGTGAGATAAGGAAGTTCTTTTCGATCGGCGGAGGACGTAGAAAATTTTCGTCTGCCGTTGGTGATGACGGCGAAAATATGGGATTGGGTTCAGAACGATATACTCTCAAAATCGTGGGTATTCTGTGCAAAATTGTTGAGAAACACGATGAGTACTTCCAATCAGATCACGTACCTGTGTGGGAGAGTCAAAATAAGAGGATCACAAGCGTTCTTCGCGACCTCTGCAACTTCCTCTGCGTAATATACGAGGATTATACGAGAAAATGACGCTATCGGCACCCATTGGTTAATCTCGCCGTATGTAGCAAAGTGGTCGCGCAAAGCATTGATTATCGAAGGTTGAAAAAATGTTCGAGGAACTTGTGTTATCACAAGCGAGTTTGTGGGCTGAATAGACTTAGGCGATGCCCAAGAGTTTGCACGCTGGGTCAGGATCGAAATATCCGGCATGTCGTGGGTAGCGCTGAGGTGGGAAGTAGCTTGTCTAGAACGACGTCTAGCTTTGAACTTATACTCAGAAAAAAACATCTGTGGTTACATAATCGCTACTAAGCAGCCACACTGCCTCTGGAGACCGATTATCCGGAAGGAGAACCACTATAGCACACAGCGGGACAGCGCAGCAACAGTCGCAGCATGAACACAGGTTATTATGTGCAGTATACAGGGTGTGTCAGAAATGCGGTGTCGTGGGTAGCCCTTGCAGTCCCTCTGTGTTCTCGATCGAAGTGAAGACCTTTGTCCTATTACTTAGCCATTTCTCAAAGAAAATTCGGTTGACCCATCTAGATGTAATGCTTTCACAGCCCGATCGCACGAACAATACACGCAGTGTTAATGAATTGTGAGAATGCATATAGACAGGTCCAGATGTTTGTTATCAAGTCTCTGGAGATAGCAGATCGAGCTTCACCAGCTGGCAGCGCTACTAGTACTAGGCGCTACTATTTATCATATACCCCGACTTCTGATGTCCAGACTCTTAAGGATTCGTATCCAAGACGACTTTAGTCGTATCACATCATAACGATCGTTATGTGCGCAATCGTTTCTGCACAGCATCTTGTTTCTCCTTGAGAGACTGTAGTTTCTCGTCCTTCGTGGCGTCGTAAGCGATAGTGACCTGGTTAAAACTGTGATCATGAATACACAGGATCAGTCGTCACATTAAGGAGGCTGTATGACCCTGACGACTCACGGGTTATCCGGTGATTTCTGAAACTGCTTGTGCAACAGATCCTGTAGAATTCAAACATCAGACGTCTTGAAATTGCGCTGACGGTGGCACTGACCTGATATTGCTGCAGGCGCAGCCCGGGATGCTGCGGTTGAGAAAATAGAATGTTAGCCTTGTGTTTCACACACCGGGGATACAGCCGTACCTCTTCTTTCAGATTTGGCAGCTCACGTTCCTTGTAGGCTTCAAACGCAGCCTAGGGGAATTATAAATCGCATATCAAAAATATACCGTCATGTGAGTTCTTACCTTGAATCGTCGCTATTAGGTAGTAGTTATGTCAGTGATTAGTATAATGGCCCCAGGAAAAGGTAGATAATCTTGCCTCTGGGTGCCTTTCGATACCTGCAGCTTGTTGTCCTACACTGGCCTTGTCCATCTTTGCGGTCACTACATCCAGCAGGTCCAGTGCATTATCGATGCCAGTTGCAGCATAGCTTTCGACTTCAGACGGTTCATCTTTGGAATCTATCACTGCTGCTGGTATTTCTGTACTCGAGCTGCTTCCAGCCGCGATTGCTCCGGGACCAGCTGGTTTGACATCCTTCTTCTTCTTGGGTGCTGGCTTGGCTTTTGTGGGAGCAGCTTCCTCTTCTGCAAGCAGCCGCGCGTTCTCGGCTTTGCGGGCGAGCTCGGCTAGACGCTTGGCTTCCTTTTCCTCCTTGGCTTTATTTCCCTTGGCACCATCATCCCACTTTTCAGCCTCCTTTTTTGCCTATCAACATCGATTAGTGAATCCCGTACACAAGGTTTCGGCGGTGCAGACGCACCTTGTCAGCAGCTGCAGCATCTTGCTTCTTCGCCTCGTTCTCTGCCTTCTTGGCTCGACCACTTTCTTTCTTTGCGTTTCCACCCTTGGGAGCCATTTCTGAAGTTGCGGATATCAATCTGGTTATGAGGGTTCAAACGTTCAAGTTCAAAGGGATGTTCCATCAAAGGGCCCAACATTGACCTAACACTTAGTCAGATATTAATCTAATCTAATCAGCGGCTAATAACACAGCCACGACCTCGTGTAATGCAAATAAATAGAGCAAGCATAGCTTGACTTAGAATTGAAGCAGCCCCATTCTATAAAGCCCTGCTGTACCAGTGTCTTCTATAGACCGTCACTTCTGCGTGCATCCTTTTCTGATACCGCATCATCCTGTCGTAGATCTTCATCAATACCTATCAGTACCATCATATCACACGACTCTCGCACCAATGGGTGATTCGACCGTGAGCAAGTGGTCTGCAGGAGTAGGCTGTAAGTGCGGTTGTTCAGCTTTGTGTGCCGCATACAGATCGATGCGCCCAAATAGACGGCCCAGTTCTCTCCCAGACTGATCTTTATCTGCTCAATACTGAGCTGCAGCTACACCCTATCATGGGTGGTGTAAACCATGGCTTCCACCTCATGTTCAACCTCGTCACTGGTAAGTCACTTCAGAATAAATATCTGATGAAGCTAATGTTTCGTAAACACAAGGTTCTACTGGTGGCTTCAATCCAAATGACCGGGATCGTGATATCCCATTTTCTGCCAAAGACGAACCTGCAACGCTTCCCCGTGTTCAAGATCTCATCATCATTACCGAGTCCAGCCCGTGGTGCACGGTAGTACACAATGAGCGTGGCGTTACTATGGGTGATGTCTGCAGCACGATTTGGAAGGAGTGAGTACCTATCCAGCCACCTTGGCGTCCAAGCCTAACCTTACCGACTCAGGTACACAGAGAATTATGTGACTGAAGGAGAATTTAACGTTCTCCCTCCAAGATTGCAGGAACAGGTCAAGAGGGCTGCTACGCACAACAATGCCTCTGGTGCAGCTTGGAACATGTATTACAATACCCCTGCACCAAATCGGTACAAGCGGGTTGGTGAGTTCTCTGTGTAGCTTTGCTATCATGCGATATCTCATGCAATCCCGGTAGATTGGCTTCGAGACAAGTACTACTTTGATGGTTTGTCAAAGAAGGACAACTACTCGATTCAGCGTCTCGGTTTCAAGGCTCCCAATATTTTTGTACTAAACCTCACCTCGTGATGGCCTCGGACCGTCATGCTTCCCACAGTACTCTATGATGTATCATATGTTGCATACTCTATGAACCCTTGTCATACGTGACGAAGGCCTTACCCCTGCACTACGCACCATTGAGCCGTGAACGTATGATCAGGCGATTTTCGTCAGAGCTATCCTGAACGAAATCGACTTATTGATCTGATGATCAAGTTGGAGTTTTACCTCCGTGATCATCGTCGTGATCGGATTTACACTCATTTCAGCATGGGAACCGTGACTAGGAATAGAAACTGGCTCACAAAGGACCAGGAATCACCCCAATGGCTACCGACATTGCCCATGCCAAGCCCGAGCTGTAGCGAGTTTAGGGTCTAGCATTGACCTCGGAGCCCAGAAACAGCAGGAGGACCCGAAAGTACAACAGGGTTGAGTTAGCCAGCATTTTTGAAAGAACTTAATTAATCTTGGGACCGCTGAAACTTTGTAGAATCGCCTTTATTGTCAGACAGGACGACTTTCTTATCCCCTCTAACTTGCTTCTAACTTACTTAAACATCTAGGGGAGACCAGAGAACTACAAATTTGTCTAGATACGCCATGATGTCGGAATATGTAATGCGAATATACGCTTTGAACGCTTCCAGTTTCCCCTTGAAGCAAGTGCGTCATAGGTCCAGGAGCAGGGTCCGTCGCATTGACAATATATTACTCCGTTTACAGCGCCGACTGTTCAAATCAGTAGCTTGGGCCCAAAAATTCGTTTGCTATCCAATTCAAGAAGTGATTCCTAGGTTGACTAATGGAAATGAAAACCAAGGAACCCCGTGTCGTGTTGATCTGTCACACCGGCTGTCATAGCCTTGCACCATACATATTACATACCCTGCGATACGCGGTGGTGATCATGCTGCGATTTAATTGTCCAAGCTCCAAGTCTAAGGATAACAATTGAGGATAGGTAACCTGATGGAAGTTTCTCACATCAAAAGTACAGGGAAGCCGTTGGGCGCCCGCAAATTTCCAACGTGCGCTTGACTGCACCTGAGAGCGCTCGAGCTGCAAATATTATGATGCCATCATGATTTTGTCCCGGATATACAAGCGGACTCGGATGTGACAAAGTGCAATGTGAAAGTAGGCACAGCCACTGATTACTGACTTGCTAAGGGTAGCATTCGGCCTATCTAAATCCTCTCTCATCTCCCACTGCCTCTTTTTCCCAAAGAACATTTTGCCAGTTTGCTTGCATTTTTTGAACTCTATAACAGCAGCTGTGCCGGCTGTCTATAACTCGAAAGGCTGTGGGATTGAATCAGTGCAGGAAAAATACTCAGTTCCTGAAATCGAACCACTGCAGTCGATTTCACCATTTAGAATCATCATATACATTGAGCGCGTTCTCTAACTTTATCCGCAGGTAAAGAGGTACTGGCAATTATCTCAAGATATGTTGACGTGATGCTCCCTTCTCAGGCCTTCTTAGGCACTCAGACCGTAGATATCGGCACAATCTCTTCAAATCTATCTTTCAACGACCTCAAGTTGGGTCTGTGCTACACGTCCCGAGTTACCTGTGTATTAATAAGTGTGACCTAGGTTTTCTTGCATTTCCTGTGAGGCGAATTCTATACCTTTATGATTTAATCCTGAATTGATGCATTTATCAGTTTCGGTCAGTGACGGCGTGACACACCCAACAATCACATTTATATCTAGAACACCAACCCGAAATGCTTTATGACTCGCCTGAGACAGCTCATACTCCCTTCATACCTCCCCTTCCCTCTCCCGAAAGCCTCTCGCCGCCAGTCATTCCTGCAGCACCTCAAAACCACAACCCGCCTGCGTGGGCTCAACAGCCCCGCACGGCAGGGCAGTACCCATATTACCCCCCGACACCGTATAATACCACGCCATTTATTCCTCCCATACCCAGCGCACATTCCACTCCCGCCATGCCTCAAAACTCCTACTTCCCCCCTCCTGCAAATCTTCCAAACATGTATGGAGCACCACCTGGTAATGGATTCTCGGCTGATTATACTGGATATCCCAACGGCAACCCTTCACCTTATGTGCCTACCCAACCTCCTCCTGGCACACCTTGGGCGGCGCCAGGGACAGGGTACACGTTCCAGCAACCGCTACCGCCAGGTCCTCCCGGTTGGGGTCCCCAACTAGGGGCGTTCACGCCCGCGGGATATCCTGTGCCAGGGGCATTTCCTACTCCTGCAGGAGCGTGGGGGATGCCTTTACCTGGTATGCCCCCTGGTATGCCACCACAGAATATGTATGCTGGTCACACACCATGGGTGCACCCAACTGCACCGCCCCCTGCACAACCACAGCCGCCTGACACCGCTCGTGCGAACTTCCGGTGGACGAGCAGTGCAGACCATATCGACCATTTTGCCGAAGGGCCACATTGTAGGCACCCCATATTCAGGCTGAGATGGATTTATTCTGATTCGGCATCATTTTATTAGACGGACCCGTTCTCGAGCCTTTTCTCGTAAGGGCGGTATCTGCAACGATTAGCGTCAATCCCCTCCTATCTCCACCCACAGACTCGCATGAAGACTACCTTCGCTGGAACATGATTTTCCCAACGAGTACTTGTTATCGCACAACTGGGCCAAAGCGTTCATGGATCAAAGGGCGCGAGGCACCCGCCACGTTCCCGCGCCTGTCATACATCCGCATCATCTCACGTTCATTCCCGTGGATGATCTCTGTCAAAGCCAGACGCCAAAACATTGGTGTGACTTGTGGTGAAGTTATCGAAACCCTTTCTGCTTATTTTCACGGGGACGTCGCGAAAAAGGAGTACGAAGGCGTTTCAACCCGTCGCCGACGGGAGATTTGGCAAGCGTATCAATACAACCGCTCAACGGACAGCAACGTCCCTGGCGGCCACCTGGGCGAGCAGCTGAGACGCCTTGATTGGCTCTGCAGTCATTCGAGGTGGGGGCGGTCTTGTCCGTAATGATGAATTCATTAAGGAGGCCTGTGGAGACGTCTTGCCTTGCACTTTCGAGCTTAAATGCGTCCCGAGCTACCCGCTTACTCCGGAGGAAGCTAGCGAGCAGCAGCGGATCGCGAGGCACGCTGAAAACCGTTCTCGTTCTCGTCCAAATTCTCGTCCAAGGTCTATGGAGTCTCGGTCTAATTCTAATGAAGGGCGTGACACCACAGATACTACTACTGAGGAGGATGAGTCGGAATATGATTGATTTTTTTGCATGAACAAGACACATTACGCGGATTTCTTGTTCCTGTTTCGTGGGGTTCTCCCTTCATAGTGTTTGATCATGTAGCCGTGACCTTTTTGGCCCATTTATTCTTCATATATTGTTGCTCTATTTTCGCTGTCCAACAGCCAACGGCTTGGAACAGAGCTCACTTTACTCTTTTACATGCTGCAACAATAAAACCAACTTTCTTAGAAAAAGTAATGATTCTCTACGCTGGTAAGTAATATATTAAGCAACTACTTCATAAGTTTCGAGTTCCGACATACGTTCGCAAGGATTCTGAAGCAACATCATGATGGCTGCGGCATAACATTTATCAAAACAAGAAAGTGGTCAGAAACATATGTTACAAGTCTTACGACGTTGATATCCGACTTCGAGCTCCATACGGGGGATGAGAGGAGGGGAAGAAAATATTTATTTAGAGGTAAGATGAAGAAACATGGTTATTACATAATTGTTACAGACGCTGGTGGTCTTGGTTCCCGACTCCCACGGTGGGAGAGGCTTCTGTTGTGCTGTCATGAATCTGTATAAGTAGCACGCGCTCGTTTGTCTATCGGCAGTGGTCTTTTATTTTGTCATTAATGTCGTCTGTTCTCCTGCTTCCTCGTAAGTCATGTGTCCTATATTTCTGTTCCCGTTCCCTTACCGTCCAACAGTGTCGAAAGTACCGTGCCGTGTCGCACGCGTCCTTGATGTCCACCACATTCAGTCGCGCATGTGCTCTCAGACTACCCATATACTAGGATGCTGTTCATTACCCTGAATACTATCTGTTGTGCTTTGCTTCTCCCGAAAACCTTCGTTCTTGGCTGTCACGAGCTGTTATCGAACATAGCCGCATTTGTAGTTCACGCAACATGTGATTCATTGATTCGCGGGTTGTGTCACCTTTGACAGCAATTCAGTTGTAGTGACCGACCACTACATTTCGGGTGTGTTCTCTCTCTCTCTTTTTCTGATTCCAATTTCTGTCCTTTGCAGATATACATTCTAGTTTAAGGGACCTCCAGTGTCCCTATCGCATCTTCGGGTGCACGAATGCCCTGTTGTGAGGCGTACCCCCAACAGTCCGCCGTTCCCGCCGGCTGTTTTAGACGCGCCACCCATGCTGACGAGATGATTTTGTATGTACGTGCGTTGTTGAGTGGGTCCATCGTAACATTTCTATACGCGTACGTTCTCTCTCTCTCTCTCTCTCAACGCATTTGAAGCTTCCACTTACACTAGTGGGAAAGGTGGTGACGGGGCAGGAAAATAGAAAGTGGAACCGCCTGGCGGAGTCGGCCCGAACTGACGCATCAGCGGCGATACGATCCATTTAGATCATACGACAATTTGCTGGAGGTCAACTTAACATGCGAATACCTCAAACATATAAGTTGGGATAGAAAGATAAGACTTGTTGGCTTGGAGCGCTCGCCGCTGGCGGCTCGACTGGGTTTGAAATTCTTAACATACAACTAATAGTAAGTCACTAATCTGGCTACAGAGAACTCATTACGGTGTGAGCAAGGACTTAGTACTTTGTCTGGCCGCGCCCTGCACTTGGAGTCCAAGGGGCTTAGCTAATCTAAGGCAGGCTTGTTTTCAGTTTGCACTACCCCGAGTCCAACACGTTACCCTAATCTCGACCGCAGCTGACTCTTCGCTCCCCCCTATCACAATAGCGTCATATGGCACTGCAATACTGCGATATCTCGGACGGTTGCGCTGAACGTGCGGGTTTCGGTACGCAATTATAGTTCTACAAACCCCGCGTGATTCGGACTCCCTATCTCCGTCGAAAAAAAGTATACCACAATCGAGACGGTGGAGCGGTGTATCCGCGACTGTGTGCCTGCGTGTCGCGAGCAAGGCAAGAAGTGGTGAAGAGCACTACGCTACGACAAAGCCCGAAGGACACTGAATGGCTCGCTAAACTACGGTGCTGCTCGGCTGCCACTCGGCTCCTACCCCCGGGGTCCCCTACTCCAACGGATCCATCTGGATACCTTCAAGCTCGGACATGGTTGTTAGTGGTTGACGCTTTCCCAACATGGGGGTTTGCCGTTGGCACGTTACACCCCAAAGGCACGACTAGAGTTTTTTTTTGTTATCGCTTACTGCGGCCCAAAGGACAATCTCGAAGCGCGTTCTATCGATATGAAATAGGTTTGTGTATATGAAGGATACCGGTCTATTAGGGCATTCTCACATTCACATCTATCATCTCCATGTCAATTGGCCATTCAGACGCTGCATCGATCCTACCCTCAAAGGAGCATGTAGACTATGAGGAACTCGATCTCGACATAGAATTCGGTGGTCTAGAGGCGCGCAATAAGCTGGAGCGCAAACTTTTATGGAAACTCGACCTGCGTATGTCAATCCTGGTTCTGATCTACATCCTCAATTATGTAAGCGACTTCGCGTCAGGGTGTCTTGTCTCTATCTCACTCTGATACTAGATTGATAGGATTAATGTCAGGTACGTCTTTGTCATACATCGATGACGCACTGTTCACAAAGCACAAAGTACGGTGCGCTCAGGGCTCACCACCGACCTTCATCTCGAGGGTCAACAGTATGCGACGCTCTTGTCTATTCTCCTTGTCGGATATATTATCATGCAGACCCCCTCCAACATGTTTCTCAATTACATTAAAAAGCCATCGCTTTATCTACCTGCTTGTATGGTAGTCTGGGGTGTCATATCGGCTTTGACTGGGATTACTACAAAGTATGACCGATCATTGATGTCTGACTGAATACTGACCATAGTCCTCATAATAGTATTGTCGGAGCGCTCCTTACACGGTTCTTTCTTGGCTTCGTGGAAGCAGCATTTTTCCCTGGTGCCGTATTCTTGATTTCGAAGTGGTTCGTGGACTATCGAGTGTATTATCAGCGTACGCCCTGAAATCCAATGTGTGCAGGTACAAAAGAACAGAAATAGGTCTCAGATTAGCCATCCTCTATTGGTAAGGGTGCCACCATGCTGGCGAACAGATATATTTATCGACAGCACCTTTGCAGTGGAAACGTTATTAGCAATGCCTTCGGAGCTCTCATTGCATCAGGTATTCTTGCTAACATGAACAACGACCTCGGAGAAGCCGCATGGAGGTAATTCAGTCAAGCTGAACTAACAAGGGATTCGGTCTGATTGTCATTGCTAAGGTGGCTTTTCTACATTGAAGGAGCTCTGACTATCTCTGTTGCGATAATTGCTGTCTTTATTTTGCCGGACTTTCCAACAAACACGAAGTGGCTTTCCGATGACGAGCGTCGGCTTGCATTGAAGCGTATGGAGGAGGATGCTGGTGTCGGGGACCAGTCAGAAACTGAGCATGGGGGCCGCGGTCACGGCTTTTACCTCGCTATCATCGACTGGAAAGTGTGGTGGTTCTCATTGATATGTGCTGCTCAGGTGACAGCACTGTCCTTCACTGTCTACTTTCCCACTCTCACTGCGACGCTTGGGTACAACCCAACGGTGACGCTACTCCTTGTTGCGCCTCCTTTCGTCTTTGCCGCCATTGTCGCATTCGTATGGACCAGGTAAGCCTTCATCTGAGATGATTTAGGAACTGATACGAACAACTTCTCAGGCACTCTGATAGGACACAAGAACGGTTCTACCACATGAGCGCATCAAACGTTGTTGCTATCATTGGGTTCATTATTTCAATGAACACCATGAACACTGCTGCCCGATACTTGTCTCTGTAAGTACATGATTTAATTTTGGACATATCACTGATGTTGGCCGTCATTAGGTTCTTCGTGGCGCAGGCCTATGCAGGAATTATGTTGTTGCTTGCATGGATCAGCACCTCATTTCCTCGACCGCCGTCAAAGCGTGCAGTGTGTTTTTCGCTCATCAATTCACTTCAGCAACTCAGCAGCATTGGAGGGTCGTGAGTAGTTTCATCGATCGTATGATGATAAGGATTCAAATATTCATTGACGACGTCGATTGCAGATACGCCTGGCCATCCGTTTGGGGCCCTACCTATCGGTACTCGTATGCCATTTGCCTCGCCGCTAGCTGTATTACAATTATAATGAGTTGGATTTTCCGGCAGCATCTGAAGACATTGAACATGAAGCTGGAGGAAGAAGAGCAGGATAAAGGGATCAGAGAAAAGGGATTCCGCTATATTCTGTGATGGATGACGTGGTGATCTGTAAGCTTGTAATTCTACGAACGACGGCCATGTACTAGTAACATCTAAAAGTTTCCATTTTCCGTTGTTCGTGCCGTGGATATTGTGCGTGTGGAAGAGTAGATCCCATCGATTGGCAAACGATGGCATAAATAAGTTCCCGGAGGCATTGTGTGGCATTCAGAAGATGTTCACACAAAATGAGTTAGATTTGGGACATGGTGAGTATCGAAAAGTTGCATGCTATTGTGATTGCGCTGGTTACATTGTAAGCCAGGCCTGAACATCGTGATATTTACTATATCACCGTGTCCTGGCAGCCGAATGATAGAATCTATTGGAAGTGACAATCAATTCGATCATTCTACTGCGCGGGACAAATGAGTTCTTCGACGGCTTGTAAGCACCGCATGACTCGGAGTCGATTACGCCATTAGAAATAAGAGAACAAAGTAACTCACTTGGAGTAGGAAATGCAGGCTTCAAGTCGTCAGCAACTTGTCAAGGTCGATCGAACGTGACTCACCGACTCCCAATCCACGGTGTGACTCTCCCTGCGTGCGATATCGTTCATATGGACATCGGAGTCGTGTCAATCAGTTGTTGGCCCCTGACTTGCAGGCTTGCAGCTCTCACTACTTGAAGTGCTGCCAGTGGTTGCAGTGGTTGTTAGACAAGAGAGTGCCAAGCGTGGGAATGACTTGATGTCCGATCCTTGCCAAACCCCATGATGGCATGATGATATCGGATTGCAAGGTTGTCGGCTTCAAGTTGCTACATAAAACTACAAGTTAGGTCTCCCTATGCAGTCCGTCCATGGGGCAACTGGATTTAACCGGGCTCTGCGAGGTCCTATGTTTTCTCTCCACTTCTCAATATACTACTGACACAGCAAGTCGACTCGTGCTCTTCAAACCGGTAACACTTGAGTCTATGCATGGTAACGAGCTCGAGCTTATCAGTACATCATGAGTAGGCCTCAACTTTTTCAATCTCCTTGTTTATTTAATTTTTGACACTTGATGGCGATGACGATTGACGATGGGCATTAAATTGGATTTGTTCACAACTTCGGATTTCTCTGGCTCAACACAACTGAGGAGGACATGATTCCCACCAACGAATACATGATGATAAAATGGTGGTACGAGGCACTGCAAAAGAAATTGTTCGTACAATGCGTTATGATATTTGACCCATGAGCCTCATATCGCGTTTAAATAAATGAAGCCATTAGAAGAAGGGTTAAATGACAACTCGTAAGCTCTCTAGTTCACTTGTCGGCAGGAATGGAATCATCCTTTCCATCATCCATGCCTATAAAGAAGTTGTCATGTACCGGGCACATCTCATTTATTGCGGACGCCTGACAGATCATCGTGTTAAATATATATATATAGTGACCCAGAACCGGGAGAAGACTCACATTCAGGAAGTCCGGATATTGTTGTTCAGTGTCCTTTTTCTTTGCGATGCGCTGGAGGGGAGTTATGAGTTACCACGATATGGACAGGCTAGAAACAAATAACCTACCTGAAGGAACGAGCGCACGAAGAACGACGGGGACTTTTGGATGAAGGGTTGGACTAGACATGCGTGAGGGGGAATTCAGGTAAGGTCAGGAGAGGAAGAACATACCTGCATGTTTTCTATGATTAGGAGAAGGGTTTGACACTTCAATAAGTCGAAGCAGTAAGAGATGATGGGTGAAGTTGTGAATAAACTTGGGAAAAAACATGGCGGCTTATATACGAGATGGTAAGGTCCAAGCATGGTGTGGAAAGTGGGAGCGTGAAGGTCTAAGTACATGGGGAAGTGTGGAAGAATGATGGCTAAACAAGAGTCACACCAACAAGTCCAGCCACAAGTCCGAATGAAGACAGTAGGACAATGAAAAAGTGGTTATGTATGATAATGATAATGCTCCGACAAGTGGATATCTTGGTTGTTTCGTGAGACTCGGATTCTTGATGCACGACTCAGAAGGCAGAATGCCCACATATATCTCCAATCGATTGTGATATCTTGGGGGTGAACCAACGCATAGGTTCGTTGCATGAGGCCTCCGAACTTGGAGGTGGGTGCTTCATTAAAGGTAGATTGGCCCATCCAGTGCATCAGTGATGTATGCGATAGTTCAGCTGGTGAGGAATAACGGTCTCCACTCGAGAGAGACAAAAGTCCGGAAGTGAATCCGAAGGAACTTCGCGTCGGCAACATGCCTGGGGATGGGTCATGTTGCGAACACTGTTCGGTCCTTGCGCACCAATCAGTGAATCGATGACATTTTGGTGTGTATATTCATACAAGTGAAGCGACAGCTTCAGGAATCTTTGAAAGTAGAAGAGTCGTGGGAATTTGGAGTCGTTCACAAGTTGTGCAGGTTTCGTTGCGACTAATATTATATCGCACATGTTTCAGGCATTTCGTAGATCATCTTCAATGCATCAAACTAGTTATTTTTATGTTTATCAATTTGATCATGCCTCCTGGAATATTCTCCCCCACCCTTTAATCGCCTTCGTATCTACCCCACACTGCCTCAACATATCCCAAGTGACGGTAGTGACAGTATCCAACACTGGAACGCCATACTTTGCCTCCCAAAGTTCAACCTTATGCGCCGCTATCAGATTCGTGCAGAACGTCGAAACAGCCTCTGCACCTCCCTCAACCACTTGCCCTACCAACGTCTCCAATACATCCTCTCCAATCAGGGCAAAGTCAGCGTTCTTCGCAATGCGCAGGTGGCGTTCCGTTTCCGAGGTGACCTCCATCCCAATAGCGTTATAGTTCTTCACAATCCTCTCCTGGACGTCATCTAGATAAGGCGTGACCAGTCCAAGCTTCTTGACCTTAAAAATATCCAAAGCCTTGTTCAAAGCCAATACGGAGGTAGTGGCAGGGATACCCGTAACTTTGGTGATAGCTTCGCAAAGTTTTTCGTCGTCCTCGAATCCCATCCATCCTGCTGCTGTTCCGCTCCAGCCTATCATATCAACTTCGGCATGGGCAAGTAGTTCAGCGGCTTGCATGATGACTGAGTGGTCAAACTGGGCGAGACCTTTGGCTGAGAGACTAATCGCCGTGACTGGGAAACGGGAGAAGTGAACGGATACATTTGGAATGGAGGAAACGATCTGGAAAGTGAGAGGTTCCAACGCGGTATTTGAAGAAGGCGTAAGAATGCCGAGACGGATTTGTTTTGACATGGCTCAAACGCTGGCCAGGGGAAGATTCACGGCGTACAGAAGTCCGACTTTTCGTGAAGAAAAACGGACGAGCGATAACGTATGTGACAGAACTGATATAGGGCCTTGTAAGCTAACACGTGAGTTCTAATAAATCGAAGATCCTCCCCGACGGGCGACCGAGTCATGATCTGCTGATCCAAGCTGACTTAGGTTTCATCGCCAAGGCCCAAGTACTGGGCAGATATTTATGTCTGTCCAGCCGTGCAATCGTTATCACTTCTCGGGTCACCTGACTTTCGGACGGTAAAGGCTGCTATGTGGAGCGTAGTAGGATGATAAGTTAACTCACTTGTTCAGGTATTGGCAACACCCCTCACCTTGGCCCCTCCTCTCGAACGAGGGGGCCCACATATTAGAAGCATAACTAGTGAAATCAGGGGGTGATTTGTAGTGATTCGGGTTCGGGAAGAGCAGTAATAAGGTTCGGGAGTGTTGATGTGTCGAAGTGCAGGGCAATCATAGTGCCACAACAAGAAGATGCAAGCTATACTCATTGTCGAAGATGACGGTAGTCCAGATAGCAACCTTCGACTTCGTGACTGACCAGTATCTCTGCTGGGAGCTGGAGTGATGTAAAGGTGACGGACCGCAATCGGAGATTATTTTGTGCGTTTTGTGTGTTTTGACTGGCGTGTATACTCAAGGACGGTTCTTTAGATATCTTTGCATTATGCGGAGGAGCGTTCGTGGGAGCGGCTATGCATAGATATTCGGGGTCGAAAGAAGTTGGAAAGAAGTCATCCTCAGTATAGTAGGATGTATGAAGGTGGGAGTTATCAGAAAATCCTGCGTAACATCCAGATCGTCCTGCACTGGCAGACGATGCTCCAGGTGGATTCTATATGCATGGTGTACTAACCTTGCGTCCCCATAACAGGACATCCATCAAACTCTGAGTCTTCAGTAGGCGTTCTGCCCCTCAGTGCTCTCAACGTGAAGTGCGGCATTTCAGCCTCATATACATCGATTAGAGGTCAACCAAGGTTCGCCGCGTCTCTCGTCAAATTCGCAATATGAGTGACTCAGCGCAAGGGTCCCCCTATTTCAATGTTGCTATGTTTTTCCAAGTTAAAGTTGCTGTCAACGTTGAAGTGATGACTTCTTCGGCTGAGTAAATCATATTGGTGGTGAACTTCGGTCGATGTATGTGGCCTGTGTGAGGCTGAATCGCCGCGCTTCACGTTGAGATGGGCCATAAAATGTCTTCAGGGTGTTGCTCGTTCGTGGGCGGTTAGCCTAGCGATACAATAAGATATTGATTAACGATTTGTCTAACCTATTTGTCTTTCAAATCTACTTTCGAACACATACAGTACTACGATGAAACTTGAAGAAAACACATTCTGCCGCTCCCTGCAGAGTACCCAACAACTGTTAATCAGAACGAACGTTTCCCATGCTACACACTGCTGGTTGAAATATGCGGGAAAGCAATTGACGTCATGCCGGTTGCTGAATGCCAGTCACCCACGAGCTTAGCGTTATGTTCTCGAACGCTAAGGATCAGGCGTGGTCCTAGCACAAAGATGTGCACGAGCAAGGAAATTTGGCAAATACAAAGGTACATCCGAAATTCCAGGGAAGATGTGTCCTGTAAAAATTATGAACCGTGGATGCAAGCAGAGGTGAGGAAGAAATCGGCGTACCGCTGACATGATTGAAAACAAACTACTGAGCGCAAAACAAGAAATAGCAAAAAAGCTGGCACGTGCGAAAGGTTAGCGGCAAAAAGGGACCACATTCACATTATGAGCTTACGTTGCAAAGTAAATTAAGTGAGTTTTCATTAACACCGTGAAACAGTCCTCAATAAACCCTCCTGCCGAATATCGTTGCAGTTCACGGAAGTGTTTTACAGTAATCCAAACTGCGAGACACAGTGCAAGAACATGCCACACAGTGCCAAGTGTCCAAATGATGGTGCACACAAGTACGCCATCTCCCTCATAAATAAGGTCACACTGATAGGTGCCGGAGAGAATGAGCTCCTCTAGCATTCGTCAATGAGCCTGATGCATTTAAGTCTGTGATCCATCATCAAACTCACCCCCTGAAACATCCCTCATTGCGAGTGCGGTCATTACTCCATTATATACGTTGATAGCCAGGAAGATGACAACCAGAAATGCCAGCACCCTTCTGGATTGCTGATACATGGCATGTAAGCGAGCTATCACGACAACTTGCGTGACATTTCGGTCGAGTGAATATAACTGAAGTCTTGGAGACAAATCGCTCACCACCCAGCATTACATTTCCGACCATGCTTATCCAATCTAGTGCAGCATGCATGACCAGGCCTGACAAAATCCTATTGGTCATCAGCCCCGGAGGATCATGCCAGAAACAAACTCACAACTGTGGCAGTCATTGTCCCGAACCAACAAGCTAGTAGAGAATCTTACTCACCTCTGCATTGGAATTCATTAATTGGACGAACATGGCTGTCATTGTTGGACAATACTCACTACATCTGTCCCCGAGATTGTCGGAACATATACTGTATATCGCCAGTCAGAAGAAGAAATAGTGTATGTGAGGAGATATACATAGTATGCCGATGCTAATCGCAAGAATGGCTGATGAGCATAACACCATCTCTGACGAAACGAGAAGCTCGGACTAGAGACGCGGAAGGAAGGCTCAGTCTTAGTTAGAAAGACTAAGGGAAAGGGAAAAATCCTGATGCTGAATATGAAAGAATCATTGAGACGGAGAACGAAAGTGAACATAGATGAAACGTGTATGATAAGGTGAATGTGTATGTAAAGATACGTACGAAGGACTCGGATGTATCGTGATACTCCCACTCAAACGCATATCACCAGATACGCGTGTGCCAGAACTATTCGGCCAAGGTCTCGTTCGAAGAGGAGCGAAGGGCAAGTGAATAGCGATGATTGCGGAAAAGTTTTCGCGGAAGGGATTTCGTGAAGATATCGGCAACCATATCATGTGTAGGTATGTATGGGATCTTGATGATGCCATCGTTGACGAGGTCGCGAATGAAGTGATACCGAACGCGAATGTGTTTCGCGCGATCATGGAACTGGGGGTTTTTCGTCAGCGCACGACTCCCATTATTGTCTCCATATAAAACGGTAGGTAGGATGAGTGACGAATCAAGTCCGAAATCGTGTAATAATTGGTTGAGGTGAATTTGTTCCCTTGCGGCATTTGAGAGAGCAATGTATTCCGCTTCGGTTGAAGACGTGGCTACAACCGACTGTTTCTGAGAGCGCCAACTGATGGGGGAACCGAAAAGATAATAAACATAACCACCAATTGACCGGCTATCATCTTTATCAGACGCGAAATCGGAATCTGAGTAGCCAATGAGTCCTTGGTCAGATAGACCAAAAGACAGGGAGTAATGAGCTGTCCCGCGAATATAACGAAGAAGATGATGGAGTTGGTGATAGTGTTCAGGGCCTGGATTGCTCAAGAATTTTGATAGCGTGGATACTGCGTATGCAATGTCGGGACGACTGACACGCATAGCGAAATTGAGTTCACCAATAGTGCGAGCATACGGGAGATGTGCGAATTGTTGTTTCTCGGCGTCGGTAAGTGGAGATGTGGCTTTCGATAGTGAAACACCTGGCACTAGAGGTGTGGATGCAGGGCGACAATCTGACATCTTCGTTTCGTTTAGGATCTGTTCTAGGAAAGCAGTTTGGTTGATTTGGAGGAGTCGCTTAGGACGGTCTCGTGTGATGTGCATCCTTAGGAAATGACACGCTTCACCAAGATCTTTCATCTCGAAACGCTTACTCAGCGCAGCCTTGAAACCATCGAGGAATGACCGACAATTTGATGCGAGCAACATATCATCAACATAGATGAGCAACCAGATGGTCTTGTCACCTTTTCGCCAGACATACAAACTGTAGTCCGCTTCGCTCCGCACAAAATTGAAACCCTCCTTCCGCAAGTAATCATCGAGGGTCTTATTCCACTGACGCCCAGCTTGCTTCAATCCGTATATTGCCTTCAGAAGCTTCCAAACCCAATCTGGGTACTTTGAGTCCTCGAAACCAGGTGGTTGGTGCATGTAGATATCTTCGTCGAGTCCTCCATTGAGAAAAGCTGTTTTGACATCCATTTGGTCAAGTTCGAGATCAAATTTTGCAACCATCGAGAGAAACGCGTGTGTGGTGTCATACTTCGCAACTGGTGCAAAAGTTTCAGTAAAATCAAGACCTTCAACCTGTGAAAATCCCTGTGCAACCAAACGAGCTTTGTAGCGGACAATCTGACCATTTTCATCATATTTGTAGGCATACACCCATCGCGACCCAACTGCCTTTCTACCAGGAGGTAGCGGAACAAGTATACCAGTGCCCTTCTCCTGTAGTGATGCTAGCTCCTCAAGCATGGCACTCTCCCAGAAAGCAGATTCCTCGCTAGATTTACGTGCTTCTGATAAAGATTGTGGGGGTTGTTTGCGTCCATCAGCGATTTTCTCGGCTATTAGCATTGCGGCATGTTCAACAATCGTTTCGGATGATTCTGAAACAGTTTCTGTGTGTGCATCAATAGGAACATAGGTCCAACGTCGTTTGACAGGAATATTGGGTTTGGTTGGGATTGCAACAGAGCGTGGGAGAGGGAGTGTAGCCTCAACATGTTGACGAGTTGAACGACGTGGCAATGGTTCAGATGTTGAAACAATCTGTGATGGGCCTTCCACATTCAGTATTGTAGTGTTGTCTGTTCCGTCTTGATTGATTTGCGGGAAGGAGTGCAGTGGTTCAACAGATGCTATTGGTGTTACCGGAGATGGAACTCCCACTGAAACAGCAGTTGCAGTTGGTTGTGGTGTCACTGCTGTATTGATGGTGATCTCTGGAAGAAAATCAGAGATATCCAAGTCTTCTCTGTTCCTCGAGTCTTGTTCTGGCTCCGTTGTCACAGTTGGTGTACCTGTAGACTTTCGTGCCTGAATGTGCTGATTGTAGAGCTCGACGAGTGGGGAGATCACTGAATTAGGAGTTCCATAGAAGATATTCTCATCAAAGTGAACATTACGAGACCGCACAGTTTTCCGCGTTGTTGGATCCCACAGCAAGTAACCAGCATCCTTAATATGGCCCAATAGGAAACACCGACGTGACACATAGTCGTACTTGTGTCGTGTAGCATCGGGAATGTGTGCATAGGCAAGACAACCGAAAGGACGCAAGTGCGAAACTTCAGGTGGGTATCCATGGAAGACTTCGAAAGGTGTCTTCTCATCAACTGCTGATGATGGTAGAAGGTTCTTGATATATGCCGAGTTCAGGGTAGCATATCCCCAAAATGATCGAGGGTAACCACTTTGATGGTGCGCACTCAAAGCACGAGTGACAATGGTCTGATGACCTCGTTCAGCGACTCCGTTTTGCTCTGCAGTATGAGGCATTGTAAGCTCTTGTTCAATACCCTTCCCATGCAAGAAGCTAATGACGGCACTGGAGATGAATTCCCCACCATTATCGCTACGAAGACGTTTCACTTTCTGACCTGATTGCTTCTCGATCCAGGCAACATATTGTTGTAGGCAAGAAACACGTCACTCTTGTGTTTGATAAGGTAGATCGTCGAGTAGCGAGAGAAGTCGTCAGTGAAGGCAACGAAACATGTCTCCCCGGTTGCAGTTGCAGTGTCAATAGGTCCCCAGACGTCCGTGTGTACAAGTTCTGCAATATGAGTGGCGCGATGACGAGCCTGGGATGGAAACGGGAAACACTTGTGTTTGCCCATCAGACACGATTGACATTCAATGTGATCAGCACCATGCTCTGTGTATTGATCTGGTCCATTATCGGCAAGAACGAGTCCAGTGACCACTTTTTCGGCTTTGCGCAAGGTAGTATTAGCCGCATGTCCCATTCGTGCATGCCAAACTGCTGTTGATAGTGGCGTGTTTGACAAGGTTTTGGCAGCGAAGGCAATGTGATCACGACCATACTTTGCACGAAGGTAATACAAACCATCAGTGCAGTTTACACTGGCAATAGTGGTACCGTCTGCGCGGTGCATACAGGCTCCTTTTGCATTCGTTTCGAAGAAGATGCCCTCCGATGCAAGAGCCGACACAGATATCAAGGTGCATCGCAGATCAGGGACATGTAGAAAGGGCAGCTCAATTGGTTCCCATTTTCCGTCATTGTCGAGCACTAACTTTATGGTCCCCCATCCTGGAGCGAAAACGACATCATCATTTGCAAGTTTCACCGTTAATGGTGGGTTATAGGGAGAGTAGCGAGTAAAGAGAGAGCGGTCCGATTCCATATGTGCAGTTGCAGCAGAATCTACGTGGAAAGAGAAGGAAATATTGCTCGCATTAGAGAAACTGGCTTCATGTGTAGGTAGACGAAGGAATGATGGAATGATGTCAAGTTGCGCTAGAGCAGAAGTCGGTGGATCAGTGGTCTGCAATGGTGACGGAAAGACCTGTGCTGACGTGTTTGGAGAATCGGTCTTTGCCAGACGAGTTTGGCAGTTGTGCCAGATATGTCCCGTGCGTTTACAGGATCCACACGTCGAACGCCACGAAAGTTCCCACTTGTCTCCCTTTGATGTATCGAGTTCCTTTGGCTTCGGGCGTTCAACAGACTTGCTTTATTTGACAGTTCTGGCCGCCATGGCAGTGTGATGCGCATGTGGATTGTCTGATCTGAAACTCGCGTAGTACTGTTCGGAGTTTCGGATCTGATTAATGACACCTTCGAGCGTCAATTTTCCTGCATTTGCGTCAGCGCTATGAAGGATAAGCTGCGAGAGCGGGGCATAGAAGTCTGGTAATGCACGGAGTAATGCCTGTACTAGAGTGTACTCGTTGCACTTCCATTCTATTGACTCGATAGCTTTGAACTGAGCTTTAATGTCTGTAATCTCCTTGATTGATTGCGCAAGTGAATCACTGTCTGACGCTTTCGGAAGATCGAAAACGCGACCCATGAGGCGGGTAAAACGAATACCAATAGTGGCCTGGTACTTGTTTTCGAGTGCCTTCCAGACGAGGGCAGGGTCTGAGATGCCCGTAAAATAGATTAAATCACTGGAGTGCACAGCCATGCCGAGGAGACCCTTCGTAATGCTCTGTCGTTCACGGAAGGATACAACATCTGCACTCGCATTATGAGTGGCAACTCGTTGCGCAAATGTCGCATCAGACTCAATAGCAAGTATAGTCGGGGGCTGCGGCTCTTTCTCGTCACCAATGAGAAGGCGCCAGAGATTGAATAAAGATAGCCAGAGGTCCATAGAGGTAACCCACGATGAATAATTGGATCCATTTGCATCCAGCAGGGAATGAGGAAACGAAGAAGGGATCCGGATGTTGGACATCTTGAGTGGTAACGAAGAGTGTGTCGGCGATGGCGACAAAGGAGCAGGGGGAATAGGCGATTTGAATATGGAATGAGATGAGGGGCGAGTGGGTGTCAACGGTGGTGACGGAGGTAGAGGGATAGATAGAATCCGCGGATCAAGCGGTGACAAAAGTCGGCCTTGTTCCAGTTCGGAAAAAATCGGAAGGCTCAGACGTTGAACGAGTGGAAGCGAAAACGAGTGAAAGTCCTAGTCTGAGCCAGGGCTCATAATTTCTGACGAAACGAGAGGCTCGGACTAGAGACGCGGAAGGAAGGCTCAGTCTTAGTTAGAAAGACTAAGGGAAAGGGAAAAATCCTGATGCTGAATATGAAAGAATCATTGAGACGGAGAACGAAAGTGAACATAGATGAAACGTGTATGATAAGGTGAATGTGTATGTAAAGATACGTACGAAGGACTCGGATGTATCGTGATACCATCTGCGTAGCCTTCCAGACATACATAGCAAATAGTAGTCCAAGATAGCGCACCTAGGATATCTTCTAGTCAACATAACGTTCGCTCGCACATATACCACGAATTACATACACTCAGATACAAAAAGGTCATGAGGGACCAGCGTTGCCTCTGTCGCGAATTAATGGCCATTCCGTTCCGACGCAAGACTCGGCTTACCCAGACCAGTTCAACCTTTAAAACCGTTCTTAGCGAGATGGCCGCTTTGCTAATGGCATTAACCCACCTCTTGTCCGAATGTGAGTACTGGAGAGACTATAAGATTATCAGCTGTTCTTGAAATCTATCTTGCTCACCCCAATCGTACATTACCCCGGCAGAGGCAGCAACTGCGAAACCGCAGCCAAGGTTAGATCGAGACATCACCGTCATGATGATCAGACTAGTTCTACACGAACCTATAAGATAACTTAGAATGAGAGCCGAGTTGATGGCTGGCCACCAAGAGGGATCATTTGAGACTACGGTCATGTTTCCAGAAAATGGATCGGTGTGGGAGGGCGCGAACTGGATCGATGATACGACGGTTATCCCGTGCTAGATATACCACCATCCAGCGCTTTTATCATAGGCCGAAAGATTAAAGATCAGGACAGGATGGTATCTGTTCCTGCTTTTATTAATTAACCGAAGCATTTTCGCATGAAATCAAGTAGAAACGCTGATTAATCGATGGCGGACTTCAAGTAGACGTTGGTAACGAACTTGCTGTAAAGCGGCAGTGACTCGCGCGAAGAACGTTGGAAGTTAGAACACCGCAATATTTTGGCAACCTATGATTTCCACACATATAAAAGACGCTGGAAATGTACATATTAGAATCAAACCACGTGTACATGAACTGAGTGACGGTCTCAATTGATGAGTACAATTCATTGTGTTGTAGTAGATAAGAAAATTATGATATATTTGGCAGCTACTAGCTGATCATGGGGATTCATGGCGGTGGCTGCACTGGCTGATACACCTGCCAACATGCTTGGCGCGCCATTAATATTGGCGTTTCAAACACCGCTTACAAGTCCCAGCGCTGTGTCATGTCACCCTTCAGGCAAGTTTCAGGTGATGATCACAACACTCAGGTGGCAAATAGTTGCCAAATGGTCTTGGAATTTGACAGAGCTACGTGGAAGGTGATATTCCCCGTTGAGGGCGGCCGATCTTCCCATCCTTTGGCTCAGCCATACCGTATTCACAGCGCGCTATACAGGTCTTTTGGAGGCAAAATGGAGGTGCAAACGAATGACACAGGGGACCAGTGCAGGTACAGGAATTGGACTGAGGGTTGGAGGCGGAATGGAGGTGCATTGGAGGTAATTCAAACGTGAATACATCACAACGCATGCGTATTCACAGGAGCTCTGATAACTAGACAACCAATCACGAAAATATCTTGCGACAGATACGGTGAATAAGGTGCTTGTTCAACACAAATGCGACATTAATGTGGCGTGGGCAACATCAGAGGGAGTTGAGGATTAATAGGCAGGCGGAGTCGGGGATTGGAATATTGGCGGCTCGCCGCCGCTACGTTCAAAATAGTTCCTTCTATACTGCGTGGTCTGTGGCTGCTCTCAGTTCCCCTTATAAACTCACCGAGAAAATTACAAACCTGGCAAAGTGCGAGAATATCGCAAGGCATGATTTGAGATAAGGCAACAAATTTATAGAATGATTGTTTCGTGAGAGTAGTAGTAAGAGCTGGTTTCGAGTCCCAAGATACGTTCACAAGGAATGAGACATATAGTACATGTAGATCTTAAGCTTAATACAAGTATATTTAAACGAGACAAGAGCGGTGAATACAGGCACAATAAATTCCTCGAAACGCGCATGAATCAAAATTAACACTCAGTCGAGTGATTGGTAGATTAGGAACGTTCGCCCCGGAGACGGCGAGCGAGAGCGAGATCCTTGGGCTGACTACGAAAATGTGTGAGCAACCAAACTATTAGTATCTTAGAGGACGAAGCTTACATGGTGACCCTCTTGGCGTGAATGGCAGCCAGATTGGTGTCCTCAAAGAGAGATACCAGATAAGCTGCATAAGCAAACATGCATGAGCTAGAGTGACAGTCCGAAGATGCATCGACTTACCCTCGCTAGCCTCTTGCAGGGCAAGGACAGCGGACGACTGGAAGCGAAGGTCGGTCTGCAAGTGGTTAGCAATGTCAGCGTTTGTATTACATGCAAGTGAAATACGGTCATACCTTGAAGTCTTGGGCGATCTCGCGCACGAGCCTCTGGAAGGGGAGCTTGCGGATGAGCAGCTCAGTGGACTTCTGGTACCTCCTGATTTCACGGAGGGCGACTGTGCCAGGTCTGAAGCGATGAGGCTTCTTCACACCTCCAGTAGCGGCGGCCTACGATGACGACGTCAATGAGAGCTCACAGAATATATAATAGTAAATACTAACCGCAACACTCTTCCTGGTCTGCTTGGTAGCGAGTTGTTTGCGAGGAGCCTTGCCTCCTGTCGACTTACGGGCGGTTTGCTGAAGTTACCAAAAAAGGAAAGTCGTCAGAAACATATGTTACGACATTGGAAGTTCCATCGGGGCAGGGGAGGGTCTTCCGGAGGATGGAAGATGCGGATGGAACAGAATGCGTAGGTTTCAAACCTCCGTGGTGCCTTCTTTGCAAAAGAAAATCACCAAACACAGGTCTTGCGCCACAGCACCCGACACTTGGCAACACCTCCTTCTCATGCACCCCTCACTCGGGACGATGAGCATGTCCCCCTCCCCTCACAAAATTATATACGATAGAGTGGAACAGTATCTACACACCTTAGTACGAGCCATTTGATTGATTGTGGTGTTTGTAGGTTAGAATTTGAGATTCGAGCTTGAAGATGACTGAGATGATGGTGGTTGGGAGGAAAGAGAGAGGAGGAAAATACATCAACACATCCTCTCTCCTTAAACCAACTGACAGATTTTTTTTGCTGGCATTTCTGACTCTGCTTTGCAGTGCCTGTGGTCAGTGCGCAACTTCGCTGTGATAGTCTCATGGCAGGGGCGGAGTCAATAACGGAACCGTCGTCATGCGTAACAAACAGATGTAAATAAGCGCGCATGCAAGTTTCATTTCATTAATGCAAAGTCAAGTATACGGTTCATAGCTTCAGCTACTGATCGTGCTATTAGCCTAGGCCTCCCATTTGTTCGAAACGCGAAAAATTGCACCAGGATTTAATGGCGCTGCCAATGCTGAGCACGGATACATCAATACCAGTGCTCTTACCTTCGAGCTCAATTCCGCGTCCACCTTTACATCCTCATCTAGAATGGACACCCAAACGATATCTTTCTGATCCTCAGCCACCTCCTATGGATGATGCCAGGGTTCTTGAGCAAGAAATGGCTGCTGCCAGACAGTTGCAAGACGGGAAAGCCGTAAAGAAGACAAGACCTCGGCGGACTGTTGATTTTAACGCGGGTATGGGCAGGTGGAATCTTGTATGTAGCAACTTGATCATTACACAATTATACATCTAATCGAGTGTAGCTACGCAAACACCGACCTAATTCGACATATGTCCCCTCCATGAGACCTGCTCCTCCCTTCATTATTGACGTGCGAGTTTTTCTTTTCGTGGCCCGTGGCTGCTGAAGAAATGTTCATTGTGTATAGCTACTCCCACCAATTGCATATCCTGGAAACTCTTCAACGTCCTTGTGCACCAAATTTATTCACACCTCAACTAACAAGATTCGCTGTCCAGTCAATGTCGTCACAGTCCGTACCACCGTTAACATTTCTTTCAAATCTCTCAAACACTAGTTTAGTGGACTCCAGAAGGAAGACGAGTACTGACAGGGTCAACAAGCGGAGAATTTACCCTCTGGAACGGTCTCACATTTAATTTCGAGACTATTCTCCAAGCCCACGATTCCGCCGTCCGCGCTTTCCAGTTCACACACTCTGGCTCGTTCCTAGCCTCTGCAGACCAGAACGGAATAATCAAGTATTTTCAACCGAATATGAATAATTTAACCGCGTGGGCCGGTCACCGTGAGGCTATTCGAGGCTTGAGCTTCAGCCCAGATGATCGCCGCTTTGCAACGGCAAGCGATGATTCAACTATCCGAATATGGTCGTTCGAAGAGAGTCGGGAAGAAAGTGTTCTTACAGGTATAATTTTTGTTCATCGTTTTGTGGTTTGGTACATTGATTTTATTGCTAGGACATGGGTGGGATGTCAAGTGCGTTGAGTGGCATCCTAGCAAAGGTCTTCTAGTATCTGGAAGTAAGGATAACCAAATAAAATTCTGGGACCCGCGAACTGGAGCAGTTCTTTCAACACTGTAGGTACACCGAAGCATTTTATTGCCATTATTAACGAGCGACTTAGCCATCAGCACAAAAATACAATACAAGGCCTAGCATGGTCTCCAAATGGCAACCTTGTAGCAAGCGCCTCCCGTGATCAAACGGTCCGCGTCTTCGACATCCGTGCCATGAAGGAATTCCGCGTTCTCAGAGGCCACAAGAAGGAAGTCTGCTGTAAGCCTTGCCTATTTTCACTTGATCGTACATTGATAAACCGTAGCCGTGACATGGCACCCCGTGCACCCAATACTTGTGTCTGGCGGCTCCGAGGGCGCCGTGCTCCACTGGGACCTCGGTGGCCCAGAACCCACGACCTTGCAACCCGTCACACAGCCTCGTGCCACGCTATCACAAGCGCACGATTCCAACATCTGGTCAATGGCGTTCCACCCCATGGGCCATCTCTTCGCGACCGCATCAAACGACCACACCACGCGTTTCTGGTCGCGCGAGCGCCCTGGAGACGCAACATCAGTGTTCTCCGGCGGTGGCGAGAAGCCCCCAGAAATTACAGACATGAGCGGGCAGGACGACGAGGACGACGCGATGGTCCCCGGGTTCAGCTATGGTGGCACTAATAAGTGGTGGGGCAAGGATGAGGACACGGCGGTTGGCTTGGGAGATAATAGTTATACCCAGCGCGCGCCGTTCTCGGGCGATGATCCGGTGGGTTTGGATGAATTTATTCCCGGATTTGGTACAGCGGACAATTTTGGAGGTAGCGCAGGTCCTTCGGCCGTCGCTCCGAAACAGAGTGGTCCGCTTCCTGGTCAGGAAGAGATGTGGACGGCCGACTCAAGCTCAAGAGGTGAGGAATGGGGTAATCGCAGGGGTGGGTGGGCAGGTCGCGGTAGGGGGTATCATCCCAACGGTCCTCGTAGAGGGCGGTACTGATTTCACAGATATGGTGGAATTATCTATATCTATCGTGCTATGTTTTATGATGTCTTGTCACCACAATGAGAGCTCGAAGATACTTGTATTGAGAAATAAGAGCTGTCCCGAGGCGTTCTATGGTACGGTGATTACTTCGTCAATAAATATATGTCAGGGGGACTACAACGCCAGAAATGCATTCTAGAAGGTTCATAATGATAACATGAGATAGCTGAAAAGATAAACAAGGAAAATGCTTGTACGATGCGAGGAAGCCATGTGCAAGGAAATATGAAGAAGTGCCATAATATACAAGTTGAGATATGACCACTACAAGATAACTCAAGTCCGTTTCATCATATGTCGGGTCGTGGATGGTAAGCATGTCATGAACTGCAGCGTGAAAACCAGTGCCGTTAGTCTAGGTAGATTATAAATTCTGTGGAGGAATGAGTGTGATGCCAGCCGGAGTCTCGGAGGAGACACTCACAGTGGACCACTGGCGTGGGGCAATCGAGCATTGGATTCCCGCGTGGAGTAGTTGAGCCACTTTGACAAGTGGAGACGCTATTCAAGCTACAAGAGCGGGGGCCATTGAAAGCAGAATCGCGCAAGGGAAGGGACAAATCGTGAGAAGAGCCCAATAACGCTTCTACATCGGATGCGGAATGCGAACGGGTGATTAAATCAGAGGAATGGTCGGTCAGTGAGCCGGAGCCAGTGAAGAAGCAGAATCTGTGATAGGGCGTCAGTCTTAAGTTTCGATTGATCCGGGACTGGAACTTACCGGTTAAGAAATTGGCTATAGCTATCATTAAGAGAGGGCTTGTCGTCGGAAGAAGTGGGTGTGTTGGGCCCCGAAGACGTAAGCGGAGTAGTTAGGGAACTCGAGTCAGTGGAGCTCGCGCTATTCATCCGAGTCATATTTTGAGCAGTAAACCTGCTAAAGAAGGATGGCTGTCCTTGCGCGGAATCACTGCTGCGAGTAGGGGTCCGATCCTCAAACGGACTCAGAAGAGCAGGACCTGGAGGGGTTTTACGCGGTGTACCACCCATTGATCTGTCGAAATAGCCACGACGATGGTTGCGTTCGCGTGCTGCGCGTGACTGGGGTGTTGAAGAAGGGGGATCGAGGTTTAGAGAATCCGACTGCGGAATGTGCGCCTGCTCGTGCTTCTCCAGATCCCTAGATGACCCTATAGTAACGGATCGAGCATGGCGTTGCGGTATCCTATCGACGCGATAAGGAGTGTGCTTCGACCAAGCACTGGAGAGTTCTGTAGGGTACGTGGGGATCCGCACAGCTGGGGAAGACAGGGCAGGAAGACCCTCATCTTGAGCTACGTTGAGCGCAGAGCCTAAATTATACCTCGCTGACAGAGGCGTTTCTGCCCTCAATGCCGCGGAAGAGCGCGGTAAGGGAGACGCCTGAGAAGGATCCCTATCCACTCTTGCCGACTCGACTCCAGGATCCGAACCCTCCATGAGAAACCCTGCGGTAGCGGGTACCTTCCGCGTCACAAGCTTCCCGACGAATTTAAGCATGTAGTTGGCACCGTTGTTGTTGTCCCAGAACTGCCTACCTGCGGTAGTATACCGCAAGGCAATAAACATCGTCTTCTCCTCAATACGCGACCACATATCATGCAACCTTATCGTGAATGTGAAGATGTCAAACATGCCATCGTCCACAGATTCCACATAGTGGGCAGTAACTTCACTCGTCGTCTGCCACAAATCCAAGGTGAACCGGGCAGCAACCCATTTTTCGTACGCAATATTGCGCACTCGGACTCGTCCGGTGATGGACTTATCGCTTTGGGATAAAGTGAGTGCTTGTATGATCACGTCCGCATTTTTTGGCGGGATGGACGGCATATTGCGAATCTGAAGCTCGATCTGTTTCTCTGTGGAGTCGTCCGGTGAGCCGCGGACGAATGAGGGGAAATCACTCTCAGTACCACTGGTATCAGTGGCCGGGTCACGATCTCGCGACACTGCAAGAGGCTTTTGCTTCGAGAGAAACAATTTGACATGCTCAAGGTTGGCGTCGAAGTGTACCGCCTTTGAAAGAGTAGGCGTCGTGGGTTCACTCTGCACGACGCCACCGCCCGTGGGAATGGTCAGGCTGGGAAGCTTCGCGTGCTTGAGCGATGGCTTGATAGGCTGGCCAGACTTATTTCGAATAGATCGCATCTGTGGGGAGCCGGGCTGAGACTTGACGTGTGAGTTAAATTGGGGAAGAGAGCTGGAGCGCATTTCCGAAGAAAATTGACGAGCCTGTGCCCTAGACGGGATGGGCTTTACACTCGCGGCATTGTCAAATGGTGCCTGGGTCAACCGCACCGTGTCAACATCAGATGCATCACTGAGCTCCGGTGATTGAACACTCTTTTTATCCGCTTGGTAAGTGCGAGGACTGGAATGGTACCTGGCCTTGACAGACAATAGTGTGGGAGATGATGAGTTGGAATTTTGCCCACGGACTCGTCGAGAGCGCGGTATAACGATGTGAGACTCGTCAGAAGGTGTGGAAGAGGTGGAGGAGGTGGAACTGGACGAGTCGTACTGATAAATATCAGTGGAAGGGAAGAGTATGGATGACTGGTCCATGGTTGGATCGACGAGGCTCTTGTCGTGGTGAAGATCGCTTGCATCGAGGAGGTCCGTCATGGCGGACTCAGACCACGGACCGTGACCTAAAAGTGACATTCGTTGCAGTGTCTGAGGCGAAAAACGCCCCGTATCACTGCCATTCTGCAGAATTTGTGGGTCGGTAGGAAATAAAATCCGAGGCTGAGACATCTTATGACGAGTGATAGAAGAAACCCAGCGACGTTCTGATGCCTGCCTCGAAAGGTTAGACTATGATGCAGTGATATCAACTTGGAAACTTGCCTTTGTTTGAATAAAATATGCTGTTCAAAGGCCACGGAGTGATTTAGATAGACTGAGACATGAAATTAAGATGAGGGCCAGAATAAAACAAAGTCAAAGTTTGCCCGCACGGAAACTGACGTCACTGGCAGGAGTGATCTCGGTGTAAATATAGGTGAAACTGGCGTAGACACAACAGAATAGCTGCGACTGGGTGAGCGATTTCTAGGTGAAGTTCCATTCGACAGGTGAGTCCGATCATATATTTGAGTCAAATGTTCAGAACTGACTATGGATAACACGCAAGTCCTAGTAGACTGACTCTACGGACGTTAATGAACGTAAGTGTAACCTGAAGCACAGGCTGAGGAGAGAAAAGCGAATTGTTCGCATTCTGTGTCATGGAGATACGGGATTATATATGTTGAAAATTAAATTTGAAGATCTGGACCTTACGAGATTCAGAACACACGTGCGAAAGATAAACCGTTTCTGTTATCGGCCACAGTGCGTTTGGTCACCGTCCCCTTACGCAACGCCATCAATGGACCGTGGTTTCCACTCTTCTATCTTCACAGAGAATGATTGTCTTTCTTCCGTGGATCAGGCCTAGGACCTTCCTATGTTTATCAGGAGTCATTGCAGATACGCGTTTCACAAGTTGGGCCCAGACGTCATGAAGAGGTTCAAACGTTCATTCCGAAGCCATCTCCACATCCAGATTTCTTTACCAAAAATGTAATTATATCAAGAGATAAGCTGGAAGTACTGAATAGAAAGTCTCGCTAGAGGACAGCATCCTGGTGATTTCAAATCCTTCCTTGATGAATATGGCCATGGACACGTCACCGGCTATCTAAAATCGCATTCTGGTACCCTGTTCAAACCAAGGTGACCGGAAGGTGAGTAGCACGTCTGAGGAACGTTCTAAGCAGCAACGCTGATTATTGCCAGGCTGAACAACGCCATTCACAACTACAGTAAGTACTTCAATTTTATATACTAAATCGTGCGCTTAGTAAATCAAAATCCGATAGATAGCAACTTTAGTTGTTGTTCCTCTAGATCTATCAATCTTCCACGGAAAGACCTATCAAAGTTTTCGCTGTTCACTGATACCGTGATGTTCTCTGTCAGTTTTGAATGATGGGTCTCTTAACGCCCAATCATTATGCATACGGCGCCTTTCCGCCACAATCCCGGCTCCAACTTAACCTAATATTAAGTGCGCAAGGAACATTTTTAACTCATACTTATCTGCAGAGATAAGCAGACTCGAGAGTTGTACCATCTCCCCTCGATTTCAAAGGGTTCTACGTGTCTCTATGTATCTGGCCTACATTATCGCTTGCAACCTGGACCAATGCTTTCCAGTAAAGAGTCTCGCTCCTTCAACCACCGGACAGCAAAATTTCCATATCGCGTCTGTCGATTTCCTGGAATTGTACCTTCGAAACTCCACACGGTGCAGAGGCGACGTTACGAAAAGGGCCCCACAGTAGATATGGGAGTTCTGGAATTACTTTGAGCCGCAAGTCAGGGCACGTACGCTAAACTATCGCGGACTTTCGTGCAATTCATTCGGTAACTAATCCATCACTCTGGACGATTCTCAAGCCTCGCCTATGGTGTAGATTTGCGGGGAATAGGCTTCCTGGCACACAAAGTTTTGCACCAAATCAGTTTCGTACCGACTTTCCCTGTCTTGCAGCCCCACTGCTGCATTCAAATATGGGGCTGCTCCACTGACTTGTCAACTGGAAGCTTCTGTCAAGTATAAACCATTTCCCTAGCTACATATGATATCCCGCAGTTGGAGTAACACGTCAACACCCTCGATGCCCTGCTCTTCTGTGGAGTCATCAGAAAGAGGTTTGCGCTTTCCTTTTTCTATATGATCTTCTTAGCCACGCAACGAGCATGCTGTTGAAAGTATTCTGTCAGCGCTGGCTCAAGCTTCTTTCCTATCAGATTCTCATCCCGCCTTTGAGCGCAGAAGTCCCGAAGATTATGGAATCGGGTGCACAATCAAGGTCGATGAAATCATATCGACGTCAAGGGTTATCCGCATTCGTGGTGCCAATCAAGGGACCCGCCATGGATCATCTTCGGAGTATCCTATTGCCTGACACTCCGGATGGTTCCCCGACAACAAGTGATTCGCCTGTGAACTTCCAGTCTTGAAGTTCATGATTGGGGATTTCACCGACCCTGAGTTTCATTCTAGCCTATGAATGTCTTATCATGACGTGAGTTCGTGATCTTTGGAGGCGTTATGATCTAGGGTCTCATCAATATAAGGCTCAGCAGCGCATTTACGAGGTCCTCAAACTCGGCGGTTAATCTTTATCGCCATTTTTATCGCCATTCCATGGCTTTCGTCGAACTCTTCAAGACTATCTATGAGCGCACACGGAACCCGTCCCGCATGGAAGATTTGCCCTTGAGGCCATACAATTCTGTGCCTTTCATCAAGACACCTCTATTGGTGGAATTTGGAACGTGCAAGCTTCGTGATGTAAATGGTGAGCTTTACGACTCAAACAATGTCTGTCTGTTAATATTTTCCCAGGGAAAAACCAGCGAAACCGACCAGAACTCGGCCCTCGGGCCACATTCATTTGCACATTCCTTGAACATCTGGCCACCACCCAAGTCCAATGCCGACTTCTCAACTAGATGAGATTACTAGCTGTGACAGAAATAGATGAAATTAATAGTTTGGGTCTTCATTGATTTGAAGAAGAGGTAAGCTTGTTCCCCAATCATCTACATGACGTCGATGAGCGCTAAATTGAGTTCGCATGTCTTAAAGTGTAAGCTTATTGTGTACACAAAGTACACACTTGAACTTTGCGTATCGGCGTCGAACGGAGTAACATTCTGTAAATTTGAAGAATGTAAGGTATGTGCTCTTTGAATAAAGCTTGAAGCATGCGAGGAATGGAAATGCAGTTCAGAGCAAGAGTTTACGGAATCCGTCGGTGGCCGGTCGTGAACATATGTATGACGTGCGATAATTCCGATGAGGAGTCCGTCCTGTTAATGAGTTATTTGACTCATAATCCGCACAATCCGCACCTATTACACACTATATGTTGAGCGTTACATAACGTCGCAGTCAGCTTGCGCCCAGTCACGAAGCTCGACTTATCTGCGTATAATGACGTCTTCATTTCGAATCTGGTATTTGGTAAGTGCCATAAAGATGTCCGGGTCGGTAAGACAATCAAGCATTGTAATGACGTCTCAATGTGAACGAGGATAGCGGATTACCAAGAGTTGACTGAGATCTCGTGCCATGCGGAGATTGTCATCCAACGCAAAACTACGCATGGCTATCCCCAGGGAAACTGCAGAATCTGCAAAGGAAACTGTACAACCTGAGACGTCGATGCATCATCGCTGAGGTGTATCGCATGAGCCGCAATTGTTTATTGCTCCTTGACCATTGTAGTCTCCCGTAGTCGGACCTTGAAGAAGTAGTAAGACAGCCGTTCCATGCGGAGCCCGGACGTGTTCCTGTGTTCGCCGGTATACTTAGTGCATCTAAAGAGACGCCGACGTCATGAAAGAATAACTTAAAATGGCTATCGCTCAGAATGAAACATGTAATTCTGAAAACATACAGGTAGCATTTCTTCCTTCATCGCAGAGGAGTGTGGCACAGAAGCTACTTCATGATGCGCTCGCCCCTAGACACTATTTCATCAATTGCACTAATTCTAATTAAAGGACCGAGTTGATGTATTTGCTTATGCATTCATTTTCTCATGATCAGGAAAGGCAACATCAACACCGAGCGACTCACAAGAGCTGTCAGTGCGGTAGTGTCATAGGCATCCTATGTATTTCCCGAAAACAAAGGTACGCGGGTGAGAACTACCTGTCGCCTTTAAACCACAAGTCCGTCAGTACTGAGGCAGAACATGATCTGACGCACAGCGATTGCACAGTAACGTCGAGTTTAAACGCTCTCAACCATGTACTGAATCTGATGGCTCCCTTGGCTTCAAGCCAAGTAGTATATCTTTGGCCAGGAACGCCGGGGTATTATCATTACCTCCTCCGACGCCCTTATCTTCAAAATAGCCTGCCCACCAATCCGCTCCCAGTCCATGACACGCACGTCAGCATCGGTACCGGAAAAATTATTCAATCGGAGCTAGCGCCGCCCAATCAACATGCGGAGAGACACAGAACCCCCGCGGAGGGAGAGTGTCGGAGTGCCCGAATTATTGCGTACGAACGATTCTGCGCCCTCATAATGATATGGAATTATAATGTGTGTGCCCGCGTGGGTATCATGATCCCTAAGGAAACTGCGTATTCTCATGCTTAGCCTTGTTGCAGAATTACTTACCATGTGAACAGGTCCGCTGGGGATGGTATTATGATCGGCGGAATGAGGTGTAGGTAATAAAGTTCAGCGGAACTTAAGTTTTTGGAAGAACCTGTGAGCGACCTGTACCGCGGCTGTCGTACGTAGTGCACTATGATGGCCATAGAAGTGGGCTCTGCCACGGATGTGGCCCTATGCGACTTATTTTTTTGTTCTGCCTCAGCACCAACATAAACAGGAGCACACGCAAACTACATGCGGCTAAGGTCCGAGAATGACTTGAAAGCTAAAGGTGGGGAGGTTATGCCATTTTCCTGACTGTCAGACTCACTCTGCCCTTAGCTTGCATGGCATCTGGCCCCATTAACATTTTTCACTTGGTGGTGAATCGCGACATTTTTGGTCAATCTATCTGTCGAGAATCTATGTTGGCACGTACGCACATCGGGGATATATTTTGCGTTTCTGAGACGACCCTCGTGACTCGTGAGGCGTAAAGGTGAATTCCTTTTCATGGATAGACTATCACATGAAAAGGAGTTTCGGCGCAATGGCTGGGCCTGGTTAAGATGGACTCCGAAGATCTTAGACCGCAAAAATGTTGTTAGCAGGTTTCGAACCAACTCCAAGAGAAACAGAATTCGACTCTGTTGAGGTAACCACTTGGCTAAGACCAGTTAGATGGACCTCTGAAGAGACTAGGGTTGAGCACGGGTGGACTCGCGGGTCGCTGGAGCCACACCGCACCCACACACACTG